AAAAAAAGTCTGGAAGAAACAATGGCTACAATGTACATGCAGTCATTCTTTGTTAACGTCTATAAATGCTTAATTTAAGAGAAAAAAATGTCCTTGCATTCTTTTTGTTTTTGTGCGCATTTTTTCTTTGCGCACTTTTTTTTGTGCGCATTTTGCCGGTCACCAATGCACACATACTAAATTGTAACCCTCTCTCCCCCTTTTTAAACACCTTTTGGCCATCGAGTAGCTAGAAAATTCAGGTTATGCAACACTAGACACAGTAGCGTAGGAAATTAACCGTAAAATAACTTGTAGTCTGGTGAGGGAGGTGATGTAGGTTTTTAAAAAAATCGGTTAAGTATTTTTTAAAAAAAAAGGTTAAAAATACGAGGCGCTTTGGCGCAACTTTATTTTTTTTTTTTTACACTGTATTAATTGGCGCGTGCTCAGAGTTAATTCCCTTAGCGAGCAGGCGATCAGTGAAGGGCGAAAACAGGAACCGTAACCAACAACTACCCAAGCAACAGGAAGTCGAAAGCATTAACGTTGGTTAAAACAATACTTGTATTTATATATATTTATAAAAAAAAAACCAAGACCACTACGCGTCAATAATTTTGTTGAAAAAGTGGGCTAAAAAAAAAGAAGTATTGGACCAGGGTTTCTTCCAGCTATTTTTCTGCGCACCGGGTGACACCGTTTAGGGAAGGGGGGGTGTGACGGGGGGCAGCGTTTCTTCCAGACTTTTTTCTCCAGGGGAGGCACTTGAGATTTTCGGGAGGGGGGGGGGGGTAGACTTTCTTCGGGGGGGGGGGGGCGGACACTGTTAAAAGTATATATTTTCTATATAAATTATATTTCGTTCGGGGGGGGGGGGGGGGGGGGGGCAGTAAAAATTTTCGGGGCCGAAGAGATGCTTGGAAGAAACTCTGACGGGGGGGGGGGGGTGACACCAAGGCAAAAAATTGCAAAATGTACAGAAGAAAAATCCTTTTTTGCCAGTTCTATTAATTAAAGTTAAATACTCTTACAAGTGGGTGGTGGTGACACCATGACGTAAACGTGCTAACTATAGAGAAAACATTGCTACATTCAACGGTATTATTAACAGGCTATAGATAAACATCGTTACTATTACGTCTGTGATTAAAGCTTATATACATACATACACGCGTATGTGGCATATATTTAAATTATAGACCTAAGTATATAGACAAACACGCATTATACATACATATATATATATATATATATATATATATATATATATATATATATATATATATATATATATATATATATATATACTTTATTTCTTTGGGGGAGGTGCGATACGACGAAGCGCCGCACCGGGTGATACCCGACCTAGCGACGCCACTGCCTATACGCTTGATATAATTTATATACTTCGTCCAGGGGAGGAGGGGTTGATGTGCTATACGGGCAATGGGGCAATTGCCCCCCCCCCCCCCCCCCCCCAACCCAAATCATAGAGAAATCGCAAAGAATTTATTAAATCTGTATTTCAATCATTACATTAATATGACATTTTAAAAAATGAACTGAAGAATAAACATTGATTTTATACATAATTTTATTACCATAGGCCTATTTATTTAAGACTGAGATAGGAATAGCAATTCTTATTTCAACAATATACTTGATTATAAACATTATTATGTATGGAAATGTTTACATAATATTGGCATATCTGTATTATCAATGCAGTATATTTATAGTTACAAAGTACAGCATAAAATACACTACTACAACTACAGGAATGTTTAAGGAAGAATAAGCCACTTTTTGTAACAACTGCACTCCCTCCTAGTCTCATACTACGTAACAATTGCAAACACACACTACTTAATTAATTTAAAAATAGCAAATGTTTTTCATGACTTAAAGTCTAAATAAGTCTAAACAGAAAAAATTTCTGAAGTAACAACAGCTATCTCATACTACTTCATTTTTTTTTTTAAAAAAAGCTTACATTTTTCATGATTTAAATTCTAAAAAGTCTAAATGGTACAATTTCAGCAGTAAAACAATAAAATAGAGACAGCCATTCTAGCGCATAAATCAATCATTCCTCATCAATAACTTGACGGACCAATATTGTATCACATAATGACAGATGAAATGACCACTTCTTTTAACACTGCTTATTCTCACCAACACATCTCCTACTATATGATGTATGTAAATTATTGTAAAAACGGAATTCAGAAAAGCTAAGGCAGGTAAAAGTGTAGGCCAAAATCAAACATACAACAATACAGCCACCAGCTTCACAGCAATAGCCACAGCTATCATGTTTTATTTTTTCAGACATAAGAAGAAAATGTTCATTAAATATTTCACTGGTTACATTAGTTAATGATCTATTGTATTGGGGTGATACTGATGGGGTGGTGGAGGGTGGTGCATGGATGGGCATGATCAGGGCAGGGTAGCAGATGAGGAGGGCAGGGTGAGGCATGATCAGGGCAGGGTAGCAGATGAGGAGGGCAGGGTGAGGCATGATCAGGGCAGGGTAGCAGATGAGGAGGGCAGGGTGGGGCATGATGAGGGAGGGTGTCACAGGGGGGGGGGGGGCGGCATGATGGTGCAGGGTGGGGCATGAGGGCAGTGCGTTAGAAGCTCTTTGCCATTGAAAACAAATATTATAACTCTAAAGGTAAAGGACGATTCTCTATAGCAAGATATATATCAAAGACTTCTGTTAAATATTGTATAAACTACAAGCTCTGTGTAAAATATAAATTCTACTTAAAATCACCAGTTTGTCTTAGAATATAGTCTAACTAGTCGACTAGTTATAATTTATTTATAAATAAATTTTGATTTCTTTCATGTAAAAAATATTCTGAATAAAAATCACAGACAACGTGAGATCATGTATAAGTAAAAAGAGTTAAAAAAAACAAAACAGTCCTCTAAAAGTCATCATCTGATGTTCTGTGTGTAGACTCTTCCTCCTCCTCTTCATAATCATCATCATACTCCTCTTCAACTTCCTCTACATCACTGGCTTCCTCTTTGTTTACATGTTTTTCCTCTTTGTGGCTCTCAGCAACGTGCTGTCTTGTATCTTCCAGCTTAGCATCTTGAATAGAGTCCTGCTTGACGGAAGACTGCTGGGAAGCACTGCGGCTACCGCGAGGTTTGGCGACCGGTTTTTGTGAAGAAGAGACGCTCCGCGCAGAAGATAAATCTTCGTTTGCAGCATCCTCATCCAGACTACGATCCCGGATCATTTCTCTTTGACTGTCCTTGTCAATTTCAGCCTGGGAGGTGGAGCTTGAGGACACGTGTTCCTCCCTACTTTTTTTTAACCACTCCCTCCTTCGTGTCCGGCTCAACGTTTCATTGGATGGCCTGGCTCTCGGCTCGGAGTCTTCATCTAAACTTGGATCCCGTCTCTCTCCCGTGGCAGGTCTAGCTTGACGCGACACGTGACTTGCTTGGCTGTGCTCGGATAACCCGGCTTCGGAACTTCTCCGGCTGTAGCTGGTATGCTCGTCTTTAGCCGTCAGGTCAAGCTGGTACTGCTCCAACGCCTGCGTGGCTGTCAGGCCATTGTCATCCAAATCCTCAAACCCTCGTTCAGAATTTATCGTGCTGTAAACATCCTTTGTCTCGCCAAACTTGATGGTCGACGTCGACTGCAGTGTGGTGTTCATGGTCGTTCCGTTCAAGGGTTCCAGAGTGGACATGTCCTCGTGCATGGTGGGATAGCTCGCGGTCTCACTCCTGGGGGAGGTGGAGGCTGTATGGTCGTAGTCTACGGCCTCCTTACGTACACTTTTCTTGCTGCTCAAGATGGGAGATTTATTGTGATCTGACCTATAGCTTGATGCAGGGGATTTACTGCGTTTCTCTGCTGACCTTTCACTAGACACAGGGGATTTGTTGCGTCTATCGCTGGGCACAGGAGATTTGATGCGCTTCTCTGCTGACCTTCCACTGGATACAGGGGATTTGTTGCGCCTCTCCAATGACCTATCTCTGGAGACTGGAGGATTTTTAGGCCTCTCCGCTGACCTCTCCCTCAATCCCAGGTCTTTCTTGATGTCCTCGATCACCTTTCTCATTCGGCCCTGAACAAATTTAAAAAAAGGTAATCATCAAACTTTAAAACAACATTTATTTTTTGAAATATAAACTTGGACCAAAACACAGCAACCATACAATCCGCGCCAGTCAACAAGGATATAAATAGATTTAAGAAAAGGTTCACTACAGCAATAAAGATTTAAAATACATGGAGGTGGGCGCAAAACTAATAAAACTATCCCTTGACATGCACTGTAATGATTCACATAAAAAACTAATTCAGTGGCTTCCAAGATATCAATGCTTGAAGGAAAAGTCTTAAAACTCATTTAATTCATGTATAACATATTTATGTATATTTATGTATATTCATAATGTATAACATAACTTATCTAAATCACGATTAACTTACTTCATCTAAATGATGTTTAACTTACTTCTTCTAATTCACATTTAACTTACCTCATCCAATTCATGTTTAACTTACTTAATCTAATTCATGATTAACTTACTTCATCTAATTCATATTGAACTTACTTTATCTAATTCTTGTTTAACTTAATCTCATCTAATTCACATTTAACTTACCTCATCCAATTCATGTTTCCTACGCTCTATATGATTATCAAATACTTTGTGCAAAACACTGAAACAATAAATCAAATAATTACATCTAAAAAATCATGAATAAGCACCAAATACTATTACATAGGATGATTACCAGACAGATTTTGTTTAGAAAACAGATGCAACTTTTTAAAACTAAAAATTCAAGTATAAATGAAAAACTCTAGCCATTAATATGTTTAGATTGGAAGATATACTATACTTATATATCTTGTTATAAAAACAATTTCTGCCTATTATAGATTATAAATCAATATTTTGATAAACAAATCTCTTAAACCTGAAGAGTTGCACAAAACAAAGTTCTGTCAATTAAATAGATTATAAATCATTTTTTTGATAAACAAATCTCTTAAACCTGAAGAGTTGCTTAAAAAAAGTTCTGCCTATTACTTAAATAGATTATAAATCAATATTTTGATAAACAAATCTCTTAAACCTGAAGAGTTGCATAAAAAAATTCTGTCGATTACTTAATAGCTGTAGGAACAAAAAAAAAAGTCTTTTAACCCTCTCAGAAATGTCTGGTACTTGAAAGTGAGCAACTAACCTATCAGCACAGATACCCCGTGACCTCACATCCTCAGCAACTTCATTAGCGAAACTCAGGTATTTCTGCTCTTCATCCCTGATGAGTTGTCGTAAATCAAGGGAAAAAAAAAATTGTCATTTTGAAAAAAGTAGAAAAACATTTACGGCCAAAGTTCATAAATCTTGAAAAAGGTAAAAAAAAAAAAACATTTACGACCAAAATTCATAAATCATCAAAAAAAGTAAAAAAAAAAACAAAACATTTACGGCCAAAATTCATAACCCAAATATTTCCAATAGGTTACACACTAAAGTAATAGCTTTTACTCGTTTATAAATAATTGTTTAATATATATATATATTTCAGCCCATTATACTTTAAAAAAAAACTGAATTTAGAAGCCATTTAATACACAAGCTAACAAAACGTTATTTTGACGGTAGACTATTCTTTTAACTGTTTTTAAATATATACCAGAACATATATAGCATGCAAGAAAAAACTTAACACAGTCTTAGAAGTGTGTATGATGATCCAGCTAATAGAGCAGCCGCAGGCTTAAAACTAAACGAGAATGGAGGCTTAAAACTAAATGAGAAGATAAAGTGAGATATTATTTAATGGCTAAAGATTTAATGTTTTTTAAATGAATTTTGTTTTTAATGTCACGTAATGTTTTTAAAAGTGTAGAGGTGAATGCAGTATATTTAAATAGCTATTAGAACACCTGGCAAAGTAATATGTGAAATTTTGGATTAAAAATAGAGAACTCAATAATGAAACAATATTTGAATAAACACAGCAAAAGCTCTGTGGGTTAAATTAAAGTTTGAAAAAAAAATCAACAAACAATTCTGAAGTGATAAAGTTGGAATAAGTGAACTGTTGTTAAATGTGAAACTGGAAGGTTGAATAGGGAACTGTGGGGGTGGGGGAAGGGGAGACTATCTCAACACCTTTAGGCAGTACTCACTCCTCCATTAAACGCTGACTGATCCAGGTGTTGGCTGAGGTGTGGGAGCTGACGGAACATAAACTTTGGACTCTTCCAAGGAAAAAGTTAAAAACATAAGCTATGGACTCTTTCAAGGAAAAAGTTAAAAATATAAACTTTGTACTCTTCCATGGAAAAAGTTAAAAACATAAGCTATGGACTCTTTCAAGGAAAAAGTTAAAAATATAAACTTTGGACTCTTCCAGGGAAAAAGTTAAAAATATAAACTTTGGACTCTTTCATGGAAAAAGTTAAAAACATAAGCTATGGACTCTTTCAAGGAAAAAGTTAAAAACATAAGCTATGGACTCTTCCATGGAAAAAGTTAAAAACAAACTTTGGACTATTCCAAGGAAAAAGTTCATGTAACAAATTGTTATATTAATAATTGAATAATAACTTTGATAAACAATTCCTGAAATTATTTTTCAGTTGAACATGCCAGATTTATTTTACCATTCAAGTTAAAACATTCTTTCTGAAGCTCGGATTGATTAATTAGATTAATTAGATTTAATTAAAAGATTTTTTTAGTTAATTTAAATCAACAGATGGACTTTTTAAACACTAATCAAATTAGAGTAATTAAACTTCAATCAAAGACAACCTGTAGCTTAAGATTAATTCTACATTTACGTTGGATCTTTTCTTTCAACACATCCTCTAATGGTGATCTCAGAAGCAAGAGAGGTCACATGAACTTGTTATGTGTTGTTACTATAACAAATGTATATTTACGACTAAGTGGGGTTACAGCATTGATCACAACCAAAAAGATAGTGTAAATGTAATTATTTTGATACATAGAATAAGAATCAGTAAATCCTTAGGGGTCAACATGGTCTGGCCAGTGAAACACATGGTTGCTAAACAGGAAAGTCTCGAGTTCAAAGCCCTAAGCAGATTAGGTGCAATAGCTGGGGATAGCAACCCATCTAGGAGAGACAACTCCTAAATGAAACAACTGCTGCCTTGTAGTTTGTTCTTGGTTAGACAAAGATTATGGAAGTAAACCCGCCAGAAAGAAAAGCAGGCTGAAATTGGAGCTAACAGGCAATACGGCACATAACAGGTGGACACATTTTGCTTAATTATGTTGGAGGAAATCCAACCCAAAACCACAATTAAAAAAAGAAGAAAAAAGAAGAAATCCATGTTCAAAATCTAAAATTTAATATTCTTTTTTGTTGAATCTAATAATATAAAATCCCATTAAGTTTTCTTAGTATTTATACATATCAAACTAAACAGAGAGATACTTAAAAGATATCTCTACTTAAGCAGTCAAAGAGTGCTGTATCACTGCAGGTGTTAGACAAATGTGACAGGTTAAGTTTGCCAGGGGCCACAAAAACCCTGAAACTATTGTATTGTAAGGACTTTTTAAAACAAATTTTAATAACATATATTGAGAAGTTTGGTGTCTTCCTCAAAACATTTCACTTCTTGTGATGTGAGAATTTGTGTAGGTTTTAAGGTGCTACCATACAACATTTAAATTGTCATGTTCCAGTGGATTTAGATACAGACATAACTCAACATTTACTAATAAATCTAAAGCTTTTTCCTGAGGCGATGTAGCCTAGCAATAGAGCACTGGTCAGGGAAGCCAAAAGTCTCGAGTTTAAATCCGGGTTCAAGTCATTAGAATATCCCTAAGTCCACCAAGCTCCGATGGGTACCTAACTCACTTTACAGAAAGTAAAGGCAGTTGGGCATAGTGCTGACCACACTATCTCTTAATATGCTCAGGTCACAGAAAAAGATTAACTCTACTTCACTTGCCCCAAACTGTTATGTTTGAAGGGAACTTTTTGAAGCTCTTTCTACAAGCATATTCTCTCTCTGAACCCACCAAAGTATGTTAGATGTTACAGCCAAGAACATCTAAGAACTGAATTTCAAAACTTTAAGTACTTTTCAGCACTTTGCTAGGGGCTACATGTTGATTATTATCTACATCAGCAAACACATATATTTACTTAAGGTCTATTGAAACTTATCCCTCACCTTTTTAAAGTCTCCATCCTGATAGCCTCGTTGATCTCAGACTGCCTGCGTGACCCCGAGTGACCTTGCAGCTCTTCATCCTGGTGCAGGGTAGACCTGAGCTTCCCCAGCCTGACCTGGGCCTTGCTGGCCTGCTCCTGCAGCCAGTTCATGTGGTCCTGGTCCATTGAGATGGCAAGGGGCGGGACCTGGTTGTCCCCCTGCGTCTGACGGCCGTCTCGGCTGCGTACGGTTATGTCCATGAGCATGGACTCGGAAAACTGGGCTGTTTCCGCTCCCTCACCGATATCCTCGTTAGAAAAATGTCCATCCTGCGAAGCCAGGGACTTCCTACTCCTGGGCTGGGATCTCCGACCTCCGTTTTCTTTAGCCTCGTCAGAATTGTTTTGCTTGTTTGATGCACTCTTCCGAGGCGGGTTGTACCACTTTGAGTTTTTTAATTTCGATTCGTGGTTAACTTTCAGCGTTCGTGGAGTGAAGTCCCCTTTCGGCTCGGTAAACAGGTGAGGCCTTTTATCTAGCAGGTCTCCCTGGTAGGTAATTTTGCTGGGGTCGCGTGACGTGGTGATGGGCACGCGAGACGTGACACTGGTCAGTGAATGACCTGATCTAGCAGACTGGAGGGACAAAGCCGATCTTGCGGAGGTCGGGCGAGACGGTCGGGCGCTGTAGCGCGTGTCCCCTGCCTGTTTGTGCATCGCGCTGTTGTCCATGTCATGTGACTCTAGCAGCGAGAGGGATCCATAGGTAGCGTTGTTGCTTCCCTTTTTTTCCATCAGAGTTGATCTGACAATGGATTGGACAAGTCTTTCATCGTCATCCTCAGGTTCATCCTAAACACATTGAACCAACAATTTACCTATTGAATTTTTTATTTTAAACACATCAAACTAACAATTAATGTATTAAATTTTTTCAACCAAAACACATCAAACCAACAATACACCTATTGAATTTTTCATCATATACACATCAAATCTACAATAAACCTAACTAGGAAAAAGGCATTGGAAGCAAATCTAGAAAGAAAACAGGCTGAAGTTTGAGTTAACAGGCCATATAGCCAGTAACATATAGACATGTAAGACCCTTCAAATGTTACAAGAAAAAGAGAAGCAGAATTAACTAAAAATGTGATTCTGTAATTGTTGAAATGTACTATCTAGCACTTTACACCAAGCATATTAGTTTACTACTTTTTAAAAGACAGTAGGAATACTTATAAGTTAGAGTTTTTAAAATGTTCACAACATGTGTGTGCATTTAAAGAAATATTTTTTTTACAGATAACTAAAATCTCAAAATTAACACCTCAGACCCTTCCTCTACTCAAAAAGCAAAATGACTCAATGGGTATCACATTTTAGTTAAACTAATTTAAAGAAAAAGGAAAACAAAAGTAAGAGAAAAATGAAATAACTTCTCACATTGAAGAGCTCCTGATATTTCTGCAGATCACTTTGTGACCTGGCCAGAGTTTGGCGGGGACGCGGACTATTAATGAGTAGCTCTCTGTTCCTCCGATCACGCACTGTAAAAAAATGGAACACGACCAATTGTTGACAATTATAAAAACATAAACAAACTGTTATGAAGTGAGTATAGGATGGAGTCGACCATACATTATAACGTGGATTTATGATTTGATACGAATGACTCAACAGGTTTACATTGGTTCATTTCATGGTTTATTGCACTAGCTTGATAGACATGGACGACGACATTCACAATGTATATAAAAACTTGACTACATTCACAATAACAGTCCAATACCTCCACACCCTAGAACAGGGGCCTCCAAACTTTTACAGCCCGAGGGCCGCATTAACTATCAAATATAAGTTCGGGGGCCAGAGTTTCTTCAGGCATCTCTGCTTCAACATCTGCTTCAACCCCCCCCCCCCCCCCAAGAACGTCTCTTAGAAGTACTTTGATGCAAAAAGTTTTAATATTAGGAAAGTCTTCCTTGGGCAAATACTTATAAAACCCACCCGCCCTTATATGAACTTGTTTTTAATGAGGTCATTTGCTGGGCAACTGGCCACATTTTCTGGGCAACTGGCCACATTTAAGTAATTGCACCCAATGCTACATTTTCGATTTGTTTTGAATGTTTCGTCAGCAACCTCCATGAACATTTTTTTCCGTGGATAAAACAATCTCCGCGGGCCGGTTGAGAGGTCTTCGCGGGCCGCATTTGGCCCGCGGGCCATAGTTTGGAGACCCCTGCCCTAGAACAACATGACAAAGACTCCTCTAATCTTTGCCCCAGCAACAAGATCCTACTCTCAAATGTCACATGCTTACATAGCTCATCACACAGCTACAATTTATATATTAATATAAATCATTTCTAAAACACGCATACTCTCAAACCCTTGCAATGCTCTAAGATATTATTCATAACACAAACAACTACCTAAGATAAATTAAGCAAACAGATATAGGTAATATAAACCCCTGACACTAATTGCGCTGTGTAGTAAAATAAAAATTCTCATATTAGATTGTAAGACTTTAAGAGATAATAATAAGAAAGAATAGATTAGAAAAATATTCTAATGATTAAAAAGAGACATAATTATCATAATTACATTTTTTTATTTGTATATAATGTTATCCAAACTATACATTTATTAGGTTTAACAATATCATGACTTTTTTTTCATGTTGTTTTCTAATGAAAACCTATGGTAAAAACATAAATTATTAAACGAAACAAAACAAAACTGCTTACTTTTTTGGCTTGTCATGAGACATTTTGGTGGCTTAGAGTCAATAGCAGCTGCAACAACAGAGAGGATTACTTTTTTTGTTAACAGTTAAATAAATAACATTACGTCTACAAACAACAATTAGCCTAGATTTTCCACTAGACCAACAGAGATGTGGAGTAGAGCAGGAAAATGGTGCAGGTCAAGTTTGTATGAATCAGTAGTCAGACAACATTGGAAGACCACACGGGATATACCACAGACGTCCACTTTTTGAAATTTTTGAGGCAGCGCCATATTCCTGTAGTACTCATGTATTTCCGAAGACCTAAAAACCACCTCGATCCCCTCAATATTTAGAATTTTTAAATCATGCCACAATGGAACAGCAAAGGATTTCAAACATAAAATCTCATCATTTTCAAAAGTTGAAAACTGCGACAAATGTGGTTTATCCTGTGGTCTTCATGTAGACATTGGTATTGAAAAACACACCACTTAAATCAATTGTCAGACACTGATATTGAAAAACACACCACTTAAATCAATTGTCAGACACTGATGTTGAAAAACACACCACTTAAATCAATTGTCAGACACTGGCATAGAAAAACACACCACTTAAATCAGTTGTCAGACACTGGCATAGAAAAACACACACCCCTTAATGTCAGACACTGGCATAGAAAAACACACACACCTTAAATCAATTGAATGACACAAGTGAATCAAGTGAGATATTGGCATACAAGGTACACAACAACACATACCCCTTAACACAAGTAATGATACAATGAATGGACTTACATTTGGCCTTAGAGATCTTGTTGTAGTGGTTGGTCATGTGATCTAGCACCAAGTACTGAGTGGACAACTTGCATGCAGTTGGTGCCAGGGCTAAAACAGGCAGGTCAAAGGTCAAACACAGGTCAAGGGTCAACATGGGTCAAAGGTAAACACAGGTAAAATGTAAACACGGGTCAAAGGTCAACACCGACCAAATGTCAACACAGGTCATAGGTCAATGCAAGTCAAATCTCAACACAGGTCAAAGGTCAACATGTGTCAAACGTTAACATAGGTCAAAGGTAACCGGTAAACACAGGTAAAAGGTAAACACAAGTAAAAGGTAAACAAATGTTTAAAAAAAACTTATTAAAAGACAAAGGTAACAGTATAATCAAATAAAATGCAAAGAAAAATTGGTGAAAAAACATTCTAAATAAAACAAACATATCACAAAAGAAAAGACAAAGTATTTAACACTTTTAAACAAAGTTCTCTTTAGAGATGAGTCTTTTCAGACTTCTCCATACAAATGGATTGTATGATCAACACAATGCCCTACCATCTTTACTAGACAAGAGAGGCTGGGAGTTAAGCATAGGATTTGGGTAGATCTAGCAAGTTTTCTCCCATGATATTGTCTGATTTTTTTTTTTTTTGCCATTTCACAAATTTTTACATACCAGCAATCAGTTGCAGCATAATTGTTTGATACATACATATTTTACTATAGAAAAGGTAAAGATACAATAAAACTGTTGGGCAGACTCATAAAAATCTTATTTAACTTTAATGTCTTACAACAATATTTGACTTATAACTGTGGTAAAGTCATCATACTACAATAAAATATTTTGGAGTATAGAATTTTCAAACATTCATCTTCTTGTTGGTTTAACCAAATCGCATCAAAAAGTTGAGTTTGAGGTTAAGTATAGTATTAACAGCAAAGCAAACAACAAGATCTAATGATTATAAATTTAAAAGGCTCTAAGAGCTGTCGGTGTTCCCCCACTAGATACGCCTATGGACTCAACTAATGGGATAAATAAAGTTCCCTTTCGAATGAGAAGGCTCATGGAGCAAATAAGGCAGAATTCACCTGTTTCTGTGACCTCTGAAAATAAATAACTAGTGTAGTCAGCACTATGCGCAACCACCTTTTTTACTTATATGAGTCAGGTACCCATCAGACCTGGGTGGACTCAGAAACATTCTACGGACTTGAATCCAGATTCGAACTAGAGACTTTTGGGTTAGCCATCGTTCACTCTACCATTCAGCCACACTGCTTCTAGGGATGAATATGCTCTACTAGATAACATATACATCAAACTTTGCTATTTACATGCAATATTACAACTCCCAGTATTAATTACTGAACAGTTGTAACAAAATTACACAAAAAAGTGACTTACGGCTACTCTTTAGGCCCAGGTTACCTCGGAGGCTTTCAGCCATCTGCCAAATTGAAAAAAAACATACTTTCACCATTTATATAATAAAAAGGTACAGATTGTAGCTACCACAATTATCAATACAGCAGCTTACATGGTAATTGGATTCAAATGATTTGCCATACCAAAATGTGAATAATATAATATAAGAATTATTAAGTTATTAAGTTAAAGGGTATGTAATTAAAAATGTGCATCAGTGTTATAACTAAATCCTGCTAACATCACTGAAGTGGTGTATGTAGAATGTGTTAAAAGTGGAATTAAATTGTGTTGGGGGTTATATTATATTAGGGTGTAAAATTGATTTCATAAGTATAAGGGGTCATCCATTTATGATGGCCACAATTTTTTTTTTATTTTGGACCCCCCCTCCGTCTGTCCACAAAAATCCACTTAATTCCCCTTTAAAAGTACACACGCGTCTGCAAAAGTCAAATGAATGACCCCTAAGATGATCTGTTAAGTATGGCTTTCATGGCAGAAAGGAAGTTGATTCCAATAGTTCAAATAGACTTAACAAAACTAGAAAGTGTTATAATTGTCAGTACTCTAATTGATGTGCCCAAGCACTTACAAAGATTTTTTTTTCAATCTATTACTTGTTAATATCTGTGTGTATGTGACTTTAAGGAACTGGTGAATTTATAGTTCCATTAAAGACCATAATACAAAATCTCTCAACTTGTTTAACCTTTTACTTTTAGTCTAACTAAAAGATGAAATTGTCAAAATCATGTTCTTATCCATAGCATTCTAAATCTTCTTTAGGCCTAACTGATATTAAAATGGTAAAATTAGAAGTAGATCTATTAGAACATTGTTGAGTTCAAACTAACAAACTTAGAAAAATAGTATAGAAGATGTTGATTCTAATATTTTTTTTGTAAATAGATTTATATCTACTAGATCTAGATTCCATAATCTAGGCCTAAAGACAAAGTAGTAAAAGAAATCTAATTTAATTACTACTTACGACTAATTACTAAGGAGTAAATTAGTCTACTAATAACTAATATATAAAAGTAGAATGTGATGTTGGGAAGAAATATTCCAGATCTAGAATCTGAATCTAGATATAGAATCTAGTACTGCTACTGTAAATCATAAATGTGTCTCAGCTCAGTTCAGTCAGTCTCAGACTCAGTCACAGTGTCTCAGTGTCGACAGTGTGAACTTTCATTTTTTTCATTTTTTGACAATCCTGAGACCTAAAATCTATAGTTAATGTATAGTTAATGAACAAAACTATAAGATCTTATTACTTTTACTCAACATGTATATCAAAAATAATTTCGTGATTGTAATAATCGAAATCTGCTTTTAATAAGTGATGAATGACGAGTAGTGTTTACAACATTCTGGTTTTAACTCGTCCACCGCCATGTTGGTTACTATAAACGAAGATTTGCGCCCTCTATGGAATGAAGCCGGTTTTTATTTTTCCAAACCGGTGTAAGTTTTGTATAGACTTTTCGAAATAATTGTATAGTGCCTACAGTTTCAACAAAAACAACTGTACGCAAACTAGGTAACTTATTAGTTTTAAATATATGTATCCATTTTTAAAAAATAGTAATTTTTATTAGAACAAACTTTTGATTCACAAAGGCGTAGATCATGAAGTTTTGACATTAAGAAACAAAAATTTTGGAAAATGAGCCCGAAGTTTAAAATTTGTATTTAATCGAAGATAGCATTCAAATGTATTCCTATGCCCCATACAAAAATTTTCCGCTAAAAGTTTGTATAATAAGAGAAGCCAGTAGATTCGGTAACAGATGCAAGACACTGAGGGTCCTTATGAGGGTCCATATTGTAATGGAACAGAACCGAAATAATGTAATCACACTCAAGGACAAAGTGATTTTCTCCCTTGTCTCTATCGGGGCAACTATATCAAAGCGATTCATTGCCTCTTGGGTTGGGATAGGGTGTGGTTGGTTACAGCCAGTGTTTCTTCCAGACTTTTTCTTCGGGGGGGGGGGGCGTGAAATTTTCGGGGGGGGGGGGGGGTGTCGGACACTGTTAAAAGTATATATTTTCTAAATAAAATTCGGGGGGGGGGGGGGGGGGCGGTTCTGGTGGTTTTAGGTGTGGTGGGTTGCATTGGGTTGTCCAGTGTTGCGTTGATGAGCGGTGTTGGCAGGCTTGTTTTCTGCCTGTAACCGCTATTACAATGTCAATTGTTTTGTCTTTATAGCTTAATCTAATATATTCTTGGTATATGGTTATTCTGCGGTTGTTTGGTAATTGAATGGTTTGTATTGTGGGTTCTTTTATATTTAATGTTATTAGTGCCTTGATGAGAGTGTCATTGTCAATTGTACGTGTAGCCCATCTTAAGGTTCCGTCGATTCGGTTCTTGTCGCAAACTGCGTAGGTCTTCGTAGTCTGTGCATTGGGGGTAACATCGAAGGCATAGGGGCTGAAAGATCATGTGTCTATGAGACGATGGAGCCGTTAATTTTTATTTTTTTAAGTTTAATATTCTGCCTTCCATACAGTTCACTCCATTCGAGCCAGGAGCTAGCTGTGTGGATAGGTCAGTGGCGTAGACAGGGGTGTATATATATATATATATATATATATATATATATATATATATATATATATATATATATATATATATATATATATATATATATATATATATATATATAATCGTGCATAATCGTGCGGTATGAAAATTTGAGTGGTCGAGTTGATCGTTGAGTATAGGTCTTCGAGATTATCGTAAGTTGAAAGTATATCATTTTAGAGTGTTGGAGATTTAATTCGTTGCTTGTTGGTAGATGGCGAAATCGTGTTGGAAATCGCAAGTTGAGTGTCAAATAGTAGCGTTGGTAGGATTGTTTATTTGGGTCGGCAACCTGCGGCTCGCGAGCCGCATGCGGCTCTTTTGATTTCAAGATGCGGCTCTCCAGCTCTTTGCACAATTATCAATAGTTATACAATTTCATTTTCAAAATTAAAAAAAAAAAAAAAATTACACTGTAAAGAAACACAACTTTAAATAGAATAAAAAATAATGATCAGAGAACAGTGAGAATAGGTGCAGTAGAAAGTATACGGACAGCTGCTTGGGCACCAGGCCCAGCCCCACAGCCGTGCTGTAGCCAGCCCCGTGGCAACAGTTTCATGCTTGCCACTGCCCAAGTGCAGAATTTTTCGAATGTCTTTAAATGGTAATGTTATTTTATTCAGAATGCATTTCCATAGCTGTCAGTAATCATTAATTCGACGTGAGTGACGTAGTTTTTAAGTGAATCGTAACGAGATTATTACGTGATTATTGAGCCGGGTACTGGACGGTGGGGTACGAGTTAACCCTCCGTTCAGTGGGGTGGAAGATAAGCCTGGTGTGAACCAAAGGACAGAAGCGACTGGTACACGGTAATCAAACCGATATCTAAGCCAAATAGTCGGAGTTTGCCGTGTTGAGGCCTGCCTGTCTAATGGCAGACACCTCCTGAAAAGGTCATGTCGATAAAGAAAGAAAAAGAAAAGTTACTTTAGCGAAACATGTGTATGAATGAATATTATTTCTTATATAAAGCTATTTATTTTAAATAACAAATCAAATTTATTTAACTAATCCGAATCAAATATCATAATATTGAAAAAAAGTGTGGCTCTTAAAAAATAAAACATTTTGTAAATTGTATGTTTTGGCTCTTGCGTCTCTAAACGTTTTCCGACCCCTGGTCTAGCTCAGGGGTCAGAAACCTTTTGAGACGGAAGAGCCAAAAGTTACAATTTACAAAATTTCCCAGTTTTTAAAGAGCCACTAACATTTTTATTTCAATATCATGATATTTGATTAGGATTATATATATATATATATATATATATATATATATATATATATATATATATATATATATATATATATATATATATATATATATATATATATATATATATATATATATATATATAAATTTAAAATAAATAGCTTTAAATATGAAATAATATTTATTCAAATGAAAACAAACACATGTTTCGCAGAAAAAAAATATTAAAGTATTTTATCTCGCTCTGCTAGAATAATAAAATCAGTAATCTAATTATATAACTTTATTTATTGAATACTATTTACAATAGTTTTGGCCTTGCGTGCTGTTTGAAAGTTTGTTTAAACCTGGCCAGAGGCGTATCCAGGTTTTCGTTGTAGGGGGAGCGAAAAGAGCAAAAAAAGGCGCCGAATTTTTAACACGTTCTATATACGTGTATTATATATATATATATATATATATATATATATATATATATATATATATATATATATATATATATATATATAATTACTAGCTGTATGTCATTACTTCACTATGATGTAAAAGAAATTGAAAGTAGTACTCTGAAGAAATAAGAAAAAACACACAATGTAGGCCGACAAATCAAAAATTGTATCAATCTAAACAAAAACAATATATATATATATATATATATATATATATATATATATATATATATATATATATATATATATATATATACACTACAACCAAAAAAAATTAACGTAAAACACTCTGTTTTGTAATTCTTGTAAAAAAAATTCTTACACAATAATTCCTGGGAAATTATTTAAGACAAGCGAAATAGGGGAAATAATCACTCTCTTAATATAAATATGTTTATATCTACACATTTAATTATAAATGTCGAAATAAATAAATAATTACTTTAGAATATAATGAAATTGCTTAACACTATGCGTATTTACAAAATGTTTTTGTCTGTAATCAGAATTTAATATATCGTCATCTTAAATGCTAAAGTATTACAGCATAATGAAAGTTTTTAAAATCAGAGTTGGTATAAAACCTTGCTTTTCGATATCTTTAAAAAACATTCGGAATAGCAGCCTACATTTAATGAAATATCGGTCTTTTAATTCAGATCATATATTTTAATTAACTAATGCTTCTTTGTGTTCTTTAAAGATCATTTTTTAACATAGTGATAGGTATGGGTTAGATCACTGTATTGATCACACACCTTTTTACTGGTAATTGTAAAAACAATATTCACAGAAAATTTAATTTAAATAGAGGTGCCACATCAGTTGTATTTGTTTCTGTATTGTAATTTTTTTTAAATTAATCACACGATTCAAACTATATATATAAAGTAATTATGTGTGAAGTTTTTATGTATAACATTTTCTAATTCAATTATTCGTAAGCAAATACATTATACAGTTGCCTTAAACTTAACACCCCTCTTGCCAAGTGGTACTACCGTAGAGGTTTTTTAAACATTGCAATTCATCGTAATGGTTATTTTTAGAATGGCAAACTGATGCAGCTGTTAATACGTGTTGTAAATGTAGACACTACTAGACTAGTACAATAATGCTTAATTGTTGCATGAAAAGAAATCTTGTGATTTACATAGATGTGCCGACCACAAATATTTTTTAACAAATATCATTGTTTAAAACTTTGAGTTTAAAAAGTTTCCAAAAAGGCGCCACTTTGCTGAAAATGGCCAGAGGGGGAGCGGCCGCTCCCCCTGCTCCCCCCCTGCGTACGCTACTGAACCTGGCTCATAACTTGTTTTCAGTTTCAAGCACGCCTATAGATTTGTATTTGTTAGTTGGCTTTTTACATATATTTTATATTATATTCACGCAAGAAAACGCTTGCTCGCATGATTATGTTGACCCGAAGATCGTCAGCACTCCAAATACCAACTTCTTCACCTCACCGTAGCATTCTGGGAGACTATTCCAATTCCATGCGTCACAAAATAGTGCCTTAACTCGCGGCATTTCTTTTAGAGCAGTCTACTTGTGCAGCGAAACGTGCATGTTTTACTGGACCTCCAAATTTTTTAAACTTGCTGTTGATATCTGTAAACTTACCGCTCCACAAATGTTTGGTTTTCAAATCCAGCAATTTAATTAGAAGAGAACCAACATCAATTCCAAATAGCTCAAATCTCATTTGTTTTTGTGTTGAGAGAATCTACTATTTTTTAATTGCTCAAATATCTCAGTGAATCCACCCTACATTTTGTTTATTGTAATGTTGAAGTAATTCATGTTAATAGTAGTATTGGTTTTATCACGATATTTTTTTCTTCAGATTTGCCGAAATTAAGTAATTAACCGCTCTCCGTGTTTTCAACAAAAAAAAAAAGTCAATGGCCTCAATGGCGCATAACCAGTTGACACGTAATCCTTAATTGTGATGGAAGCACGGTCGAGTCGGCAAAGCTCATGGTTGATAAATTCGAAATAAGTCTCGAGTAACCCTCTGGCAGATAAGGCTTGATCCCTTCCAACACTAAAAATTAAGAACGAAGAAGAAGAAGAAGACTGGGCGGGGTGGGGGCAGGGTAGTGCCGATTTCACAAATAATGAATTGTTGATAAGTAGAAAATAAAACAACTAGATAGCGGCATATGCTACGTCGCGGATCAGCTCGCTATTAATTTTTGTGCATGGAGCTGAAGAGCCGCATCTCGACACCAGGGGGGCCGCATGTGTCTCGCGAGCCGCAGGTTGCCGACTCCTGGTCCAGCTGATAAATCGAGATGGATTGTTAGCCACTCGTACATTGAAACCACCAAATCGTTAATTTTGTGCTAAAACATCATTTTGAACATACGAGCGTTACAGCTATTACATTGAATAATAAGATTCATATCATATAGATCTAGCAGTGAAACAAACTTGAAGTGCTTAGTTTTTCAATTACTGCTCCGATTATATACTATGTAAAATTAATTATTTGATATACACTGTATATCTACAAACCTATTTTTTAGAAATAATAACTGCATACGTTTATTGCTTTATATGTGATTTAGCACTGTATAAAAGGAATAGTTGGTAGTGTTGAAATAAATTGTAAGTCACCTCCCTTGCAATAGAATATTGTTTCCCTTTCTAAATGCGGGGGGAAAAAATTGGATTTTTCAGCTGAAACCTTAACTGACAATGTTGTCTGTAAACACGATATCTTGAGTAGGTTGATGAAATTTCATATATAAGTATTACATCAAATTTGTAGTTCTGTATCAACTTTTCTGCGATTTCCAGTAACCGGAAGTGGAACTTATTCTTCTTTTAGTTTTTCAAAAGCATATAAGTTAAGTACTGTTTCAGTTAGATAGAATAAATTTCACATATACGTAGAAGACCTAATTCTCTGTTTTCTGACAAATTTTGAGTAACTTGATGATCGAAAGTAGTACTTGACCCTATTTCCGATTTCTAAAAAAAAAACCGCTTATAAAATGTATGTTTAACTTGATTCCTCTTTCTTTATAAAGTACGTGCCGTCCCGGTCAGGCCCTGCACTGGCCTCTGTAAAAAGCCGATCTGTAAAGGACCATGACTTGAGTGATTATTAAGCAGCCTATACCCGACATGGACGTTTAACCAAAGAACACATAACCCGAAACCCAACTCTAACTTTAAACAGAAACGATGCTTCATTCTATTAGTTAAAAAAAAAAAGTAAAACCTTAAACCTTTTTAAAAATCGTGTTTATTAAAAAAAAAATTAAATTCCCTTTTTTTTTAAATTTGGCAGCATCATTTCTTATTTGGCAAGTCAACATTGCCGTAATCGCGTCTCGCCATATTATCACGTGAAAACCCTCGCACTACTTGAGCTCCAGGTACCTGGCCTGGTCACGTCGTCTCTTGACGTACAGCAGACAGCCCAGCCCGACCGCCCCCAGGGCTGACATGACCAGGACGGGCAGCCACACCAGGGAGACCTCCTTCTCCTCCAGCTGCATCACGTGGGACTGCGTCTGCTTCTGGCTGTTCTTTCTTGTGTACAGGTAGGGGTGGTCCTGATCATGGTGGGTAGGGGGGGGGGGTGGAATAAATATGTAAAATATATGTTGGGGGTGGGGGGAATACATATGTAAAATATATAGGTTGTGGGGTGGAATAAATATGTAAAATATATAGGTTAGGTGGGGGTTGGAATAAATATGTAAATATATATGGGTGGGGGAGGGGAATAAATATGTAAAATATATAGTTTGGGGGGGGGGATAAATATATAAAATATATAGGTGGTGGGGGGAATAAATATGTAAAATATATAGGTGGTGGGGGGGGGGGAATAAATATGTAAAATATATATGTGGGGAGGGGGGGGGGAATAAATATATAAAATATATAGGTGGTGGGGGGGGGAATAAATATGTAAAATATATAGGTGGGGAGGGGGGAATAAATATATAAAATATATAGGTGGTGGGGGGAATAAATATGTAAAATATATAGGTGGGGAGGGGGAATAAATATATAAAATATATAGGTGGTGGGGGGGGGGGGAATAAATATGTAAAATATATAGGTGGGGAGGGGGGGGGGGGAATAAATATATAAAATATATAGGTGGTGGGGGGAATAAATATGTAAAATATATAGGTGGGGAGGGGGGAATAAATATATAAAATATATAGGTGGTGGGGGGGGGGAATAAATATGTAAAATATATAAGTGGGGAGGGGGGAATAAATATATAAAATATATAGGTGGTGGGGGGGGGGAATAAATATGTAAAATATATAGGTGGGGAGGGGGGGGAATAAATATATAAAATATATAGGTGGTGGGGGGGGGAATAAATATGTAAAATATATAGGTGGGGAGGGGGGGAATAAATATATAAAATATATAGGTGGTAGGGGGAATAAATATGTAAAATATATAGGGTCCTGATCATGGGGGGAGGGGATAAATATGTAAAGCATAAGCAGGGTCCTGATCAGAGGGGCCGGGGTGGGGGAGGCGGGCTGGAATAAATATGTTAAGCATATGCAAGGTCCAGATCATGGTGGTGGCGGGGGGGGGGGTGAAATAAATATCTAAAGCATATGCAGGGTCCAGATTAGATCATATAAAGTGGAGGGGGTGGGGTAAATAAAATATTTGTATTTGATGAGTTTTGAAAATAAAATAAATCTATATATATAATTCTCTTCATGGGGACCATAGAAAACACCACGCAGCTTAGCCACCACCCTCATCCCCACCTGTCAGGTGAGCTGTGGTTCACCCCAAATGTTTACAATAGTAGAGCCGGTTCGAATAAGTGACGGCTATTAGGGGGCAAATAATTTAGTTTTTAAACGATTTAAAACTAAGGGGAGATATTAAGTTCTGCTTTGTATTTTCATTGTCATCTGTAAACGGCTGCTTTCACTGGGCGGGGTGGGCAGGGTAGTGTCGAATTATCAATTATGAATTGTTGATAAGTAGAACTTAAGACAACTAGATAGCGGCGTATGCTAGGTCGCGGGTCAGCTCGTTATTAATTTTTGTGCATGGAGCTGAAGAGCCGCATCTCGACACCAAGGGGGCCGCATGCGGCTCGCGAGCCGAAGGTTGCCGACCCCTGGTCCAGCTGATAAATCGAGATGTATTATTACACTCGTACATTGACACCACCAAATCGTTAATTTTGAGCTAAAACCGTCATTTGACCAAGAAAATACTGCTTAGAAGAAGATTCATATCATATAGATCTAGCAGTGAAACAAACTTGAGGTGCTTAGTTTTTCAATTACTGCTTTGATCATATTGTATGTAAAATTAATTATTTGATATACATTGTATATCTACAAACGTATTTTTAATAAATAATAACTGCATAAGTTTATTGCTTTATAGATGATTTAGCACTGTATAAAAGGAAAAATTGGTAGTGTTGAAATAAATTGTAAGTCACCTCCCTTGCAATTGAACATTGTTTCCCTTTCTATATGCGGGGGAAAAAAGATGGATGCAGGGTCCAGATCAGATCATATAAAGGGGAGGGGTGGGGTAAATAAAATATTTGTATTTGAAGACGGAGTAGATATTCAAGACAGGGAGGTCTTAATAATGTAATATGTGTATATGGAGGAGGGGGGGGGGACAATTCAAACCTAATAATGTAGGAGGTGATTCAATTATAAAGGATGGTACTAAAAATGTAAGGGTCGGGGGGTCAAATTCTAATTATGAATAAATAGAATGAAATTTATATTGTTTAAAATTTTAAAAAATAGGGAATTAAGTATAATATAAATTTCAAGGGAGGGAGTGGGGTGGAATTTCAACTTTTGTTATTATGTAGAGAAAAAAAAATGACAATTCTTTAGTTTGTTATCCGAGAGAGGGAACCACGTGACGTACCTCTCTAGGGCATGCCGTGTCTTGGAACCAGTCAATGGACGTCGACTTGTCTTGGATAGGCTCCAGCTAGAATCGGGGGGATGGGGGGATGGTTATAAGTTAGCTATGACGTCACTTGCGCCTGACCTAGTGAGCTATCGTTGGCTGTTTCGTGGTTTGCAGCTGACCTAGTTACTGACCTAGTTAATTACCTAGTTACTGACCTAATTACTGACATACTTACTGACCTATTTACTGACCTACTTAATGACTTACCTACTGACCTACCTACTGTCCTAGTTACTGAACTAGTTACTGACCTAGGTACTGACCTAGTTACTGACCTACTTACTGACCTACTTACTGACCTCTACCAGCAATTAAAACTAACCGATCTATAGCTCTTGAATCAATGAGACGCAAATCTAAAGTCACATGTCCCAATCCACAGTTTCTTTCAGGCATCTCTTCATGGGGGGACACCCCCCCCCCCCCCGAAGCACGCCTAACGTCAACCGGACCCCCCCCCCCCCCGCTCAATCCAAATAGAATTGAAAAACAAATACTTAAACAAGTTTCCGCCCCCCCCCCCTAACCTCCTCGAAAGTTTTAAGTAGCCTCGAATCCCCGAAGAAAAAAGTCTGAAAGAAACTCTTCCTCTATCTCAGACGGTTATTTCCTACCATTCCATTTTGACAGAACCGTGACACCACCACATTTGGCACCTACCATTTTGATCGAACCCTGACACCCCCACTTTCGGCACCTACCATTTTGACCGAACCCTGACACCCCCACTTCCGGCACCTACCATGTTCCTCCACAAACTTTTGGCCACGGTGATGTGACCTTTCTTGCTGTAATGAAAACAATCGCTGGAGAAATACGACATGTCGACCTCACTGCTGTTCTGTGGACGTTTGGCAACCATTGGTTAAAAAATCTGGCCAGTGTATCAGTGCATAAAGCAGGAAAAATTGCCTTAAAAATAAATTTCCTACAGATGTTGTAACTAATAGATCATGCAAGACTACATATGATTATAAAAATTCCACTAAAAAAAAACATTGATGACGTAGCACGATTATATATTTTTAAAATGTCCGCATGAAAAATAAATATAAATTAATGTCACCAAATAAAGAAAAGAAATAAAGAAAAGAAAAATGGGACAACGCTGGTTTACATTTTTTTGAAACCTGTCATGAAAATGCTTTAAGTAGTGTTTGAGACCTTCGACGTCACTAGATCGGGTGTTACCAGGTGCGACACCTCATGGTGTCACCCTCCACCCTTAAACTATTTTATATATATATATATATATATATATATATATATATATATATATATATATATATATATATATGTGTGTGTGTGTTTGTGTGTGTGTGTGTGTGTGTAGGCCAACATATGCCTATAAGTATTTAAATATTAAACATTGAAACATAAATCAGAATGTATTAGTATAAAAGTGTATATATGTATTCTTATCGTTTTTTTCTCTGGATGAATTCTTATTTTATTTTTAATCAAAGCACTTTTTGTCCTGAACTACGACCTCCCTCGCAAAACGAGTTCTTTAAGCGACCAATGGCGTGAGACGAGCGACTGACCTTGACCTTGCGGGGCAGCAGGGTGTCGAGATAAAAACGGCTGCAGGACGACCGTGAAGTCGTCCCGTCGGTCGAAACGTCCCGAGTCCACGATGCCCTGCAGCGCCGCCTGGAAGTCTTCGCGTCGTCTGCTCATCTTCCTCATCTCGTCCTCGGACTCACAGGAGCAGATGGACCTGATGGGGAGTAATTAGATAAGATAAAGGGAAGTAAATATGGAGATAAAGGGAAGTAATAAGATGGACCTGATGGGGAGTAATTAGATAAGATAAAGGGAAGTAAATATGGAGATAAAGGGAAGTAATAAGATGGACCTGATGGGGAGTAACAAGTTGGAGCTAAAGGGAAGTAATTAAGATGGACCTGATGAGAAGTAATAATGGAGCTAAAGGGAAGTAATAAGATGGACCTAAAGGGAAGTAATGAGATAAGATGGACCTAAGGGAAGTAATGAGATGGACCTAAAGGGAAGTAATAAGATAAGATGGACCTAAGGGAAGTAATAAGATGGACCTAAAGGGAAGTAATGAGATGGAGCTAAAGGGAAGTAATGAGATGGAGCTAACGGGAAGTAATGAGATAAATGGAGCTAAAGTAATAAGATGGAGCTAAAGGGAAGTAATAAGAAAAGATAAAGGGTATGAGATTAGGTGGAGCTAAAGGGAAGTAAAGTTGAAGCTAAGGGAAATCACAAGATGGAGCTAAAGGGAAATCACAAAATGGAGCTAAAGGGAAATCACAAAATGGAGCTAAAGGGAAATCACAAGATGTAGCTAAAGGGAACCAACAAGATGTACCTAAAGGGAAGTCATAAGATGGAGCTAAAAGGAAGTCACAAAATGGAGCTAAAGGGAAATCACAAAATGGAGCTAAAGGGAAATCACAAAATGGAGCTAAAGGGAAATCACAAAATGGAGCTAAAGGGAAATCACAAAATGTAGCTAAAGGGAAATCACAAAATGGAGCTAAAGGGCAATCACAAAATGGAGCTAAAGGGAAATCACAAAATGGAGCTAAACGGAAGTAAAAGGATTGAGCTAAAGGGAAGTCACAAGATAACACGGACCTAAAGGGAGGTAATAATATATGATGGATCTAAAGGGAAGTAACAAAATAAGATGGACCTAAAGGGAAGATCTAATGGACTGAAGGAAAGTCACAAGATGGAGCTAAAGGGAAGTCACTGGAACAGTTGGAGCAAAAGAGAATTGTGAGTTGGGGGGGGGGAGTCCACATGCTAACATATGCTCTTGTTGTCTTAATGAACTTTGTATATACTTTGTTATAATCAAATCTTTGGTTAAGCATTCATAGACAACAACAACAACAAAAAATGATGAATCTGTTCACAGGATTGTATGAATTACGGACTTGAGCAAGGGATCTGTACGCGAACCTCTCGGTCTACTAGGCGTGCGCCCTGCCGCTCAACCACGCTATTCCATGTCTGTTGGCCGACCTTTAAAAATATATCTGCTGCCTAGGCAAACATTTTCCGCTTGCGGCCAATAGCTTGGCGGAACACTACTCCAACCAAATATGTTTAGACAGAGTGCCCAACTTATAATGGTGCTATAGATGCAGGGGTGGACTAGCTGGGTCCAAGAGGGATTTCTTACTTGAGGGCCCACCGGGATTTCTTACTTGAGGGCCCACCGGGATTTCTTACTTGAAGGCCCACCGTAAATTTCATATGTAGGGCCCACCGTGATTTCATATATGAGGGCCCACCGGGATTACTTGTATGAGGGCCCACCGGGATTTCTTACTTGAGGGCCCACCGGGATTTCTTACTTGAGGGCCCACCGGGATTTCTTACTTGAGGGCCCACCGGGATTTCTTACTTGAGGGCCCACCGGGATTTCTTACTTGAGGGCCCACCGGGATTTCTTACTTGAGGGCCCACCGGGATTTCTTACTTGAGGGCCCACCGGGATTTCTTATATGAGGGCCCACCGGGAATTCTTACTTGAGGGCCCACCGGGATTTCTTACTTGAGGGGGGTGGGGGGCACCGGGATTTCTTACAGGTGGGACCTCGGGGGTTGCGAAATACTACACCCCCCCCCAAATGTTTAGACACAAGGTCTCCGTCAGACAACTGACCTTATGATCATGCTGCAGATGAAGACTTCGAGGATAGTGTAAAACTATCCCCCCCCCCCCCACTTCTTCCCCCCACCCCAAAGATGTCTATACACAAGGTCTCCGTCAGACTGCTCACCTTATGATCATGCTGCAGATGGGACCTCGAGTTTAGTTGAATACTACCCCCCCCTCTCTCCCCCCCCCCCCCCACCCCAAACATGTTTCGACACAAGGTCTCCGTCAGACAACTCACCGTATGATCATGCTGCAGATGGGTACCTCGCGGTTAGTGGAACACCTACCTCCCCCCCCCTCTCCCCCCCCCCCCCCAAATGTTTAGACACAATGTCTATATCAGACAGACCTTATGATCATGCTATGGATGGACCTCGCGGTTAGTGGAACACTACCTCCCCCCCCCTCTCCCCCCCCCCCCCCAAATGTTTAGACACAATGTCTATATCAGACAGACCTTATGATCATGCTATGGATGGGACCTCGCGGTTAGTGGAACACTACCTCCCCCCCCCTCTCACCCCCCCCCCAAATGTTTAGACACAATGTCTATATCAGACAGACCTTATGATCATGCTATGGATGGGACCTCGCGGTTAGTGGAACACTACCTCCCCCCCCCTCTCCCCCCCCCCCCCCAAATGTTTAGACACAATGTCTATATCAGACAGACCTTATGATCATGCTATGGATGGGACCTCGCGGTTAGTGGAACACTACCTCCCCCCCCCCCTCTCCCCCCCCCCCCCCCAAATGTTTAGACACAATGTCTATATCAGACAGACCTTATGATCATGCTATGGATGGGACCTCGCGGTTAGTGGAACACTACCTCCCCCCTCTCCCCCCCCCAAATGTTTAGACACAATGTCTATATCAGACAGACCTTATGATCATGCTGCAGATGGGACCTCTAGGAAGTTGCCGGATAAGCTCGACGTTAAACAGCTGGACGAGGTTGACGAAGGTCCGGGGCAGGTTGACCAGCAGGTACTCCAAGGTCGTCTTGATGTTGTTGGCGTACATCTCGGTAGAGCTGGCGATCACCTGGGGGGGGGGGGGAGAGACAATATGTGGGTAACGTCATGGGGGGGGGGTGGGGGAGGGGGGGGGGAGGAAGGGAAGAGCTGGCGATCTTCTGGGGGGAGACAATATCTTGTTGACGTCACGGGGTGTGGGGGTGGGGTGGGGGAGGGAAGAGGTGGCGATCATCTGGGGGAGACAATGTGTGGTTGACATTATGGGGTGTGGGGGTGTAAAGCTAGTGGTAGTGGGTAAGGGGAGGGCTGTGGGTGGGATGGAGATAGAACTGATGGGAGGGGTGAGGGTAGATGGTGTGGAGTCGGGGTAAAGGTGGAGTGGGGGTATAGGTGGGGTGGGTTGGGAAGTACAGCGGGGGTGGGGTAGAGCTGGTTTGGGGATGGGGGTAGTGCTGGTTTGGGGTGGGGGTAGTGCTGGTTTGGGGTGGGGGTAGTGCTGGTTTGGGGTGGGGGTAGAGGTGGGGTGGGAAGTAGAGCTGGTGTCGGAGTGGGGGGTAGATCACCTATGACAATCAAGATCCTATTTTGTGGGTGTGGGTAGAGCTGACGATTAACTGTTTCAAACATCATTTTGCTTAGAACAGATCTCATGGCGGGGGGGGGGGGGGGCTGGAGATAATCTATCACAATCAAGATCCTATTTTAATCCGACTACATAGCTAAGGTAAATATGTGTTGGGGGAGGGGGGAGTAATGGCAATGTTCTGGTGCCACAAATGTATAAAGTATCTTCAAATACCCCAAGACTTACACGACAAGTATCCAACAGATCGTTCCCACCAATGAAAATTGTGAGAACCTTCCAGTCGTTCTCGATGTCCACTAAGGGATCTAATCGCATCTTTTGTACCAGAAGGTAAGCTTGTTGGATGATGTCACTGAGTAAAAATAGGTACATTGGTGTCGTTGTGCGTGTATATATATATATATATATATATATATATATATATATATATATATATATATATATATATATATATATATATATATATATATAAGCTCGACTATCTATAACTCTCAAATGGGAACAAGCCACTACCTAACCTGGGACAAGCCAAGAAGAGTGGCAAGGGGAAAGAGAAAGAAATGATAGAATTTTTTTTATAATTTATGTATTATGGCGGGCTTTGCTGCTAATTTATTTAAATTTGTGATGAAAAGGAATACAATATTGCCTGATACAAATCCTGAAAAATCCTTACAATGTTCTTGCTCCTGAGATAGCCATGTTGTATCCGATATGTTGGTTGTCCACACCCTTCGAGTAACCATGGAGATCGCTGTTGTACATACGCAGTATATCTGTCAATTATAGTTTAAAGTTGCTACAGTATAAGTAGGGTCAGGGTAGGAGCCAAACATTCTTTACAAACAGAACATGCCAGTAAAATATGTAAGAGAAATTGGAGAAGAAACAAAACTAATGACTACGAGACAGGTTAGTAAGCTCTTGTTATGTGTTTTTTTTTTTACATTATAAGTAACTATATAAAGTGGACGCAATGAGATAATAGGCAATGTTAGATTTAATCATGGATACTAGACATTCTCAGGTGGACATTGGTGACATGGGACATTCTCAGATGGCCATTCGTGGACATGACACATTCTCAGATGGACCGTCGTGGACATGAGTCATTCTTAAATGGGCAGTCGAGGACATGGGGCATTCTCAGATGGACACAAGACATTCTCAGATGGACAGTCGTGGACATGGGTACATTCTCAGATGGACACAAGACATTCTCAGATGGACACAAGACATTCTCAGATGGCCATTCGTGGACATAACACATTCTCAGATGGACAGTCGTGGACATGAGTCATTCTTAAATGGGCAGTCGAGGACATGGGGCATTCTCAGATGGACACAAGACATTCTCAGATGGACAGTCGTGGACATGGGTACATTCTCAAATGGACACAAGACATTCTCAGATGGACACAAGACATTCTCAGATGGACAGTCGTGGACATGGGACATTCTCAGATGGACAGTCGTGGACATGGGACATTCTCAGATGGACAGTCGTGGACATGAGTCATTCTTAAATGGGCAGTCGAGGACATGGGGCATTCTCAGATGGACACAAGACATTCTCAGATGGACAGTCGTGGACATGGGTACATTCTCAGATGGACACAAGACATTCTCAGATGGACAGTCGTGGACATGGGTACATTCTCAGATGGACACAAGACATTCTCAGATGGACACAAGACATTCTCAGATGGACAGTCGTGGACATGGGACATTCTCAGATGGACAATCACGGACATATAGAAGCACAAGACAATGACCTACTTGGTAAGGTTGGGAGGGTGCTGTAACTCTCGTCCCCGCCGATGCTGAAAACAGAAACAAAGGTACACAGGAAACACAATACTGTGGAACACTCAGGCTACTCGTACAGGAAAAAATTAAAATCTTTATCGTTAGATCTATATGTATTCACAAACGGTGGGTCTTTCAGACTTTTTTACACCGGGGTGAGAGGGGGACACTGGTAAAAGTATATATTTTATATATAAATAATATTTTGTTTGGGGGTGGGGGTGGAAGGATTTCGGAGGCGGAGCCTCCCCCCCCCCCCAACCGGAAGAAATCCCTGAAATGAAAGAGACACCGCGTATACCTAATGCTAAATTTTACTCGTGTCAAGGAAACACAATTTTCCGACCAAAACAAAAACACATTTAAAAACTCACAGTGAATATATACGACACAACGGAGGTGTCAGGTGACACAGCCGGGGGTCAGACAGCTATTCTTACCTCCAGGAAACACCTCTGTAATCATGGAGGATGGCCTTGACATTGTCGTATTTGGCTGACCTACCCGCCTGCAATCAGATATACCGAAATTACACCTGGAGTTATCTTCAAATAATCTGTATGCGAAATATATGTCATATATATATATATATATATATATATATATATATATATATATATATATATATATATATATATATATATATATATATATATATATATATATATGTATATATATATATATATATATATATATATATATATATATATATATATATATATATATATATATATATATATATATATATATATATATTAGCATAAATCTTTATAACCAGTCTTGTCAATCTTTCTTTACAATTTTATAACTTATAATGACAGAATTAAACTGGACAAATCTACACTTGATATAAAGAAACTTGGCAAAACATAACGAGTTACCCGAGAATCAAAACGTGACAGCTTAAAGTGAAAGAACCAAACGTGACAGAACCAAACGTGACAGAACTAACCGTGACAGAACCAAACGTGACAGTGGTGACCTTACCGTGAACGAGTCTCCCAAGGCAGCGATGACCTTGACATCTGAAGGTCGCAGCTTGTGGACTATAAATGTGTATGTGTTTATGTTGTGGTTGTGTATGTGTGGTTGCATGTGGTGAAAGTATGTTGTGTGTAGTTAGATATGTGTTGGGACAGAAAAAAACAACATACGTAAATGATACTATTTAGAAAAATTGAAAAATATTTTAGTAGTGGTACAATTAAAAACAAATTTTAAAGACTTTACTATCCAAGCTTCTTAGTACTAGTATTTATGCTGGGAATCTCATACAAAAACATGACCTGTGATCAAGTGACCTTATACCGGAAGTGTTTGGACTGACCTGAGGTAGGGACCTCTCCGGTAGGGGGCTCCACCTGACAAGGGAAGTTGTAGGACCTCAGCTGGGGAGGGAATGATTACGTCATTAGAATAGGATCACGTAGGTTTTATATCACAAGCAGACCCAGAACCAGACGGGAAGAATGTTATATATAGTTCGATGTCGATAATAAAAGATACCGGTTCAGATATAATGTTCGACAGATAAACCTACCGGTGCAGTTGTTAAAATGGAAAACTAAACCTACGGGTTCAAACTTTATAATGAACAACGAAACGGCCAAAAGGTAAAATAAATAACGAAACCTACCGGTTCAAAAGATAGAATAAACGACTAAACCTATAGGTTCAAACAGTATAACAAATAACGAAACCTACTTGTTCGAAAGGTGAAATGAACAACTAAACCTACAGGCTCGAAATGTGGAACGAACAATCTAAACCTACCGGTTCAAATGTTAAAATGAGCAAACTAAAACTATAGGTTCAAATGTTAAATGGAGCAAATTAACCTACAGGTTCAAATGTTAAAATAAACCAACAAAACCTACCGGTTCAAAAGTTAGAATGAACCAACTAAACCTACCGGTTCAAAAGTTAGAATGAACCAACTAAACCTACCGGTTCAAAAGGTAGAATGAACCAACTAAACCTACCGGTTCAAATGTCAAAATGAACCAACTAAACCTACCGGTTCAAATGTTAAAATTAACAAACTATACCTACCGGTTCAAATGTTAAAATTAACAAACTAAACCTACCGGTTCAAATGTTAAAATTAACAAACTAAACCTACCGGTTCAAAAGGTAGAATGAACCAACTAAACCTACCGGTTCAAATGTTAAAAAGAACCTACCGGTTCAAAAGGTAGAATGAACCAACTAAACCTACCGGTTCAAAAGGTAAAATGAACCTACCGGTTCAAAAGGTAGAATGAACCAACTAAACCTACCGGTTCAAATGTTAAAATGAACCTACCGGTTCAAAAGGTAGAATGAACCAACTAAACCTACCGGTTCAAAAGGTAAAATGAACCAACTAAACCTACAGGTTCAAAAGGTAGAATGAACCAACTAAACCTACCGGTTCAAATGTCAAAATGAACCAACTAAACCTACCGGTTCAAATGTTAAAATTAACAAACTATACCTACCGGTTCAAATGTTAAAATTAACAAACTAAACCTACCGGTTCAAATGTTAAAATTAACAAACTAAACCTACCGGTTCAAAAGGTAGAATGAACCAACTAAACCTACCGGTTCAAATGTTAAAATGAACCTGCCGGTTCAAAAGGTAGAATGAACCAACTAAACCTACCGGTTCAAATGTTAAAATGAACCTACCGGTTCAAAAGGTAGAATGAACCAACTAAACCTACCGGTTCAAATGTTAAAATGAACCTACCGGTTCAAAAGGTAGAATGAACCAACTAAACCTACCGGTTCAAAAGGTAAAATGAACCAACTAAATATACCGGTTCAAAAGGTAAAATGAACCAACTAAACCTACCGGTTCAAAAGGTAAAATGAACCAACTAAACCTACCGGTTCAAAAGGTAAAATGAACCAACTAAACCTACCGGTTCAAAAGGTAGAATGAACCAACTAAACCTACCGGTTCAAATGTCAAAATGAACCAACTAAACCTACCGGTTCAAAAGGTAAAATGAACATGTCCGTAGAGTTCATGTCGGTGAAGCCGCTGACCACGTCCTCTATGATCCTCATCTTCTCAGTCAGCTGGTCGAAGGGATCTGGGACAGATGTCATGTGTCATTAGGTCAGATGACATGTCATGTGTCATTAGGTCACATGACATGTCACGTGTCATTAGGCCACATGACATGTCATGTGTCATTAGGCCACATGACATGTCATGTGTCATTAGGTCACATGACATGTCATGTGTCATTAGGTCACGTGACATGTCATGTGTCATTAGGCCACATGACATGTCATTCACACAATTCATGTTAGAATACATTGATGATATGAGTATATATTGATAGACGGACCTATACCCCTGACAACACATATCCGATTGCGAAAAATGCCCCAAAAAAAACCACATGCGTAACGGATTTTGTAAATTAAACCTTCACTTCAAGCATAAAACCAGTGGTGTAGCTACCCATTGCAGATTCCGTGGCGAACTATCAATTTTGCTTCCCCCCCCCCCCCTCATATTCATATATTTACTCACGTTAGCGAAAAAGGACCCCCCACCCTCCACCAGTCGTTGTTAATAGTTTTTTCCCGTATCACACAAGCAGAATAGAAAGCTGCCCGTAAAACCAAGTAGCTTTCTAGTTTCTTAAATCCGACTTTAATGCAGCTCGGAATAAGCTTGTTATTCTATTTTTCAACCCAAGTTGGTGCCCCTTTAAGGTCGGCGCCCCACCCTCCATCCCCTCTGCATAAAACAAACAAAACAAAATGTTTTAAATTTTTATTTTTTAAACGCTATACACATGAGTTTTGATGCCTTAATAGATTTTGGGCTAATGTCCATCTGGTAAAAGTATATGTTTTCTATATAAATCCCATTTTGCTCGGAGGGGGGGGGGGGGTAGACTTTCTTCGGGGGGAGGGATGCCTGGAAGAAACTCTGGTCAAACGTCCATTCTGGAATTGGTCGTAGACCCGTACAATTGATATACAGTAGTGCTAGATAAAGAACACATTGGTACATTTTAAACGAAGTTGGCATTTGTTATGTTTCAAACACCTCACCTGCCAGACTGGGGGTACATAAGGCAAGCAGGCAACAAGGTAGAAACATCAGGGAGATCCTAGACTTGCTTGATATCGTCATTGCGAGAAATCTGAAACATTTTTCACATAACAACAACTGTAGTTTTAGGTGGGCAGCTTGAACGTCTTTTATTTCACGAACAACATAGACGTCTTACATACATTCTACCATATCAGTGAAGACGTCTTACATTTCACTAACAACATAGACGTCTTACATACATTCTACCATATCAGTGAAGACGTCTTACGTTTCACTAACAACATAGACGTCTTACATACATTCTACCATATCAGTGAAGACGTCTTACGTTTCACTAACAACATAGACGTCTTACATACATTCTACCATATCAGTGAAGACGTCTTACGTTTCACTAACAACATAGACGTCTTACATACATTCTACCATATCAGTGAAGACGTCTTACGTTTCACTAACAACATAGACGTCTTACATACATTCTACCATATCAGTGAAGACGTCTTACGTTTCACTAACAACATAGACGTCTTACATACATTCTACCATATCAGTGAAGACGTCTTACATTTCACTAACAACATAGACGCCTTACATATCAGCGAAGACGTCTTACATTATTCTTACATATCAAAACGTCTTACATACATTTAACCGTATCAGCGAAGATGTATTACATATATTCTTACATATCAAAATAGACATCTTACATAAAATTATTACATATCAAAATAAACATCTTACATAAAATTATTACATATCAAAATAGACATCTTACATTAAATTATTACATATCCAAATAGACATCTTACATAAAATTATTACATATCAAAATAGACATCTTACATAAAATTATTACATATCAAAATAGACGTCTTACATACAATTCTTACATTTAAAAAATAGACGTCTTACATTCCAAAATATACAGCATAATATATTATTTCATAAAATATAGACGTCTTCCATATATTGTTACATAAAAAATTAGACGGCTTACACACATTATTAAATAACAAAAAAGACGTCATACATAGCAAAATAGACTTCTTACGTATATTCTTACATAATAAAAATAGACGTCTTGCATTCTTACATAACACAATACATACATTCTCACCTAATAAATTGACGAATTACATACATTCTTCAATAACAAAAAATACGTCTTACAAATATTCTTACATCCTAAAATACGTGTGTTAAATACATTCTTACATAAAAACATAGACGCCTTACATCCTAATATCATATAGCCCTTACATCCTAACAGCGAACAAACTTTTGACTTCAATAAACTCTCCAGTAAAACAAAGAAATAACCCAAAGCTCTAGGCTAAATGACTTGCATATACATTGGCTACTTTCAAGGAAAATTTGCATATGAGACGATCTCACATCTTGAATCCGAGTTACTCATTTTTTGTGCTGTGTGCTAATTGACCTAAAAAAATAGGAATTAACATAATTTATTCGTTAAAATTTTAGGATAATTATAGCTATAGAAGTGATCGGCAAACTAAGGACCAGTGTGGCTGTTTTAAATGAGAATGTGTGCAGGTGTTGAGTGGGTGAAAATATACGCTCATTTCATCAAGAATAATATATATATAAATATATATATATATATATATATATATATATATATATATATATATATATATATATATATATATATATATATATATATATATATATATATATATATATATATATATATATATAAAACCTAAATATATAAATATTATCTAACCCTATCCCTAACCTTACGGCTCATTTCACCAAGAATAAAATTTATATATATATATATATATATATATATATATATATATATATATATATATATATATATATATATATATATATATAGGCCTATAACTTAAATATATTATTAATAGGTAACCATAAGCCAACGGCTCATTTTATCAAGAATAAAATTAAATATATATAACTTAAATATATAATTATTATATGTTTGAATGTTATCTATACATTTCCGAGTATCATAACAGTGATTAAAAAATAGCTTTTAGTTTGACTTTTTTTGGACAGAAAAGTTCTGTTTAAACAGTTACATTTTATTTGAGAATTGTATCTGGCAACCTCAAATCTATAGGAAAAAATAGATAATTACAAGTCCTTGTCTTTCGGGTTAAGTTCTGTAGTACATACATGAGCACCTTCAGCTCTAATAGCTAACCAGCATTTATTTATAAGAATGATCATGACTGTTTGACTTTTAGCAGGCCTAGTGCGACTATATCCAGCGATTTGTAGGCTGATGCTACATCATCTGACCCTAGGTCAGTCACGACTATATTGTTATATATACATCATATATATATATATATATATATATATATATATATATATATATATATATATATATATATATATATATATATATATATATATATATATGTGTGTGTGTGTGTGTGTGTATGTGTGTATGTGTTAGCATAGGTCAGCCTGTCGCCCCCTCCTGGGACGTAGGCCGCTGACAAGAGCTTTCCAGGCGTCTCTGTCCTGGGCTAGTCTCTCCAACTGTCCCCAGGTGTATCCAATCTTCTTGGTGTCTTCTTCCAGGTCACGTCTCCATGTCTTTCTTGGTCTGCCTCTCCTCCTCCTGCCTTGTGAATTCCAGGTGAGGACCTGTCTTGTTATGTTGGATACAGGCTTCCTGAGTGTGTGGCCAATCCATCCTTAAGTCAAGACGGACATTACTAATGACCATATACTTATGGCTTTTGTACCAAGGTAAATCCTCTCACACTAAAGACCCCATAGCTTGCCAAGAACTGCACTAGCTTTGGACAGTTCTTGCTAGTACTCGAAAAATCTGTCCCATTATTCCTACACAGTGGTACGTCTAAAAGCAAACAACGCAAGCCAAAAGTAACGGCACATTTGCTAGCCATTGAATTCCCGGCGATTGCAGTTGCTGGCCCTTTTTTTCCCCCTCATTCAATTCAAAACATTTACCGCGAGTGAAAGGAGAAAGTAACGGAGAACGTTTATCCAGTTGGTACAGTGGAGGACATTATTAAGGATCGATTACTTTCGCCTGATCACACTTTGTGTATTTGACGTGACGGTGTGAATGGATCACATAGTGAAAAGATTATTTTTTTTATTCTCACGGCTGTTGTGGTGGAGATGTCATGGATTAAATACATTTCAAATGTCTGGTCGGGGGTTTGACAATATATTACGTTATGAGGTAATAGGCTGGTAGGGGGAGGGGAAGGGTGTTGGGGTGAGTGTTGGGGGGAGGGGAGATAAATCTACCCCCCCCCCCCCCAACGAAATAGAAAAAAGATATATTTTATATAGAACATCTATACTTTAGCTAAGTTCTGATTACCCACTCTCTGGAAATGTAATGCACTCCCCTTCCCCCTCCCCCAACCGAAGTTTTCAGTGTGTATAAGTTGACGTGTTTATGCTCTGACGTGTGTATGTGTTCACGTTTATCTGACTTCTCCCGTGCATTTTGCCTCGTGACATCACCTCATACAAATACGACTGGTGCACACATATTTATGTTGGGGGGGGGGCGGGGGGAAGCAGCCAATGGGCATCAAGCCCGCCATCCCTTGCAAGTCATTAGCATACAAACCTGTCTGATGTTAAGAAAAATCAGACGACGGTCCGACCTTATCGCCCTGTAAACATGTACGACGGTCTGGATTTGCCTCGAACCTACAACCTCAGACTGGATGAGAAAAATGTTGATTCTATGTGTTAGCTAGGGGTCGGCGTGGTCGAGTCGATAAAGCTCATGGTTGCTAAACCGAAAAGTCTCGATTTCGAACCCTCAGGCAGATGAGGCTCGTTAGCTGGGGACAGCCACTCTTCTAGGAGAGACAACTCCAAAATCATACAACTGCTGCCTTGTAGTTTATTCTTGGTTTGACAAAGGCGATGGAAGCAAATCCAAAAATAAAAGCATGCTGAAATCGGAGTCAATGGCACATAACCAGTCAATACGTATACTTAATTGTCTCTTCCAAAACTAAAATTAACAACGAAGAAGAAGAAGAAATGTGTTAGCTGACACCGCAGCCGAGTGCCGTGTTTTGATTTGATTTCCTCTGCCAGTAGTACTGTTTTACCACTGCTAACCTGAAAGTCTCGAGTTCGAATCCCCGGCTCAAGTCAGTAGAACGCCCCTGAGTCCACCCAGCTCTGAAGGGTATCAATGGTACATTAGGGAAACTTAGGTGGCTGGGCATAGTGCTGAACACATTATTCCTCTGTATGCTGAGGTCATTGCAGTGGCGTAGCTACCGTAAAGCTAGCGTAAGCAAGGCAAATAGGGGCCCTTTTTCGCAAGTTTGAGGTGGGGTGCAAATCGAAAGTCTGAGGTGGGGGGATGCAAATCGAAAGTTTGTCCCCGGTCGCCGGGAAGGGTCGCTACGCCTCTGAGGGGCCCACTAACACTTTTTGCATAGGGGCCCAAAAATCCTAGTTACGCCACTGGGTCATTGATACATATTAACTCTACTTCCACTGCCCCTTGTTTCATATAAACAAACGGGAAAAGATGATAATTATAGCTGGTGGAGTTAGGTTACTATACGGATTTCGATCAATCGAGCATAACTATCAGACAAAACTACTGATGAAGAAAGAAAAACGTTTGACTAATTAAAATTAATGGGTTTTACATTTTACGGCATTAATATTAACATTAGCCTGGTGTAATAACACTAGAAAATGACTTTGGTTGATTAATATCTAATTAGTTAATCTTACGCCACTATGCTACTAACCCAGGCAAGCTATACCTTACGTCAATAACTTAGGTTAAATTTTACACCGTTACGCTTCTACCTAAGCCTAGTTAAACCAAATGTCACTATGCCAAGTAGGTTAAACCACAGGTGACTAACATACACAGGTTAAACCTTATGTCACTACCTGAAGCAGGTTAAACCTTATGTCACTGAGCTACTAATCCAGACACGATAATCATAATATACTCCCACCAAAAATCTGGTGTCGCCCACTCTCAACCCCCCCCCCGACCTACACCCCCACCCCGCTATCAAATTCTCGTCTAGTCCTATTGTGCACCCAGCCGCATATCTATAAACCCGCGAAGAAATTTCAGCAGACTATCTTTACCCACCTGCAATTTTTATCGATTTCTCCATACATTCACACCCAGGAGAAATTGAATAATGAGGTAATTTGTTCACACTTTAGCCTCTAGTACCTATAGGCTACCCTGTTCCCTCTTTCAAAAAAACATTCGAATCCTCGATTTTGGATACTATTCCAAGTTTGAGACCAAATTCCCACATAACTACACTAAAAAGGCTAAAATATTCTAAATACGTAACTTTTACTACTAGCATACTAAATTAATTAAGGGCCACTAACTCTGAAGATACAAGTCTTAAAGGAGAATAACTCTCACAAAAAATATCCTAATTTAATCAAGTCGGGATTATTTCTTTCACTTTTATCTGAAAAGAAAATTCGCGATTTAAATTTATTCAATCAAATATATTACGTCGATCGATCTAGTTGAGTGTGTGTATTGAATGAATTGAAATAATTGATAGGTAAATCAGTGGAGCGGAATCGATCAAGGGGGATCTTTCTCGAGACGACCAATTTGACAGGGCTGTCTGTGTTGTAAGGGGAGAGAAGGTGAGAGATCTATGGGGCACTTAGTGTAATTGATTCGCGAGGTGAGGACGTCATAGTTGCATGACAGGGCTACGGCAGGTAAAGTAATTTGTTCGTCATTGGGACTGTGTAATGGTTTGTATGTCATTAGTTCTTCATTGGGGCTATTTCTGTGTATTGGTTTGTAAATTATTAGTTCTTTATTGGAACGTGTCATTAGTTCTTTATTGGGACTAGTTTATGTGTATTGGTTTGTAAAGTAATTTGTTCTTCATTGGACTTTGTGTGTGTGAGTTAGTTTGTTAGTCATTAGTTCTTCATTGGAGCTGGTTTCTGTGTAATGGTTTGTATGTCATTAGTTCTTCACTGGGACTCGGTATGTGTGAATTAGTTTGTTAGTCATTAGTTCTTCATTGGGAATTTGTATGTGTATTGGTTTGTATGTCATTAGTTCTTCATTGTGACGTTGTATGTGTGAGATTTGGTTTGTTGGGCGTTCGTTCTTAAATGGGAACGCTTTATGTTTATATTATTTCTAAATTGGTGCTGGTTTCTGTGAATTGGTTAGTTAGCCATTAATTCTTCAAAGGAGCGGGTTTATGCGTATTTGTTTGAAAGGTATTAACTCTTCATTAGGACGGGCTAATGATTATTAGTTTGTTAGTCGTTAGTTCTTCAATGGAACTAGTCTATTTTAAATGGCTAGTAAGTCATGAGTTCTTTATTAAATCAGGTTTATGCATATTGGCTTGAATGGTATTAGTTCTTCCCTGAGACAGGCTAAAGAGTATTAGTTGTTAGTCATTAGTTCTTCATTTGGATCAAATGCTGCCTGTATACTGTATAAGATTGTAAGTATTAAAGCCATTAGTTCTTCACTGTGCCTGGCCTATGCGTTGGATTGTAAGCCATCAATTTGAACGTATTACAACTATATGCTGGGTTTATTGGGTTTTAAGAAAGAAGTCTTTTGTTCTCATATGTACTAAATGTTTTAAGTCACAAAGCTTTATTTTATCTACTTTCTTTGTCTTCTTTTTTCTTCGTTATTGCTATACTAGAGGGAATTTCCTCCGACATAATTGAATGTACGTAATAACTTGTTATGCGCCGTATAGGCCTTCGACAGCGAATTCATCCTGTTTTTCTTTCTGGATTTGCTTCCATAGCTTTTGTCCACCAAAGAACAAACTACAAGGCAGTAGTTGTTTGATTTTAGAGTTTTCTGGTCTAAGAAACTTCATCTGCCTGGATTCTTTTGCCTAATGGTTGACTGTTTCTCCAGTATCTAATCCATTGTTTTTTCAAGTAAACGAATTCGTTTCAAAACTGTTGAACTCATGAAAAGCTTGTAACGTAAGAAGGGTGGCTAGCATCGGTCATCAGGCAAAACTTTTGGTTAACGGTTGCAAAATCTTCAACTTTCTATTTAAAAATTCGTTTAATATGCGGACATTAACGACAAACTCGCACCAACCAACAAACACCCTAGTTACGCCACCGTACGTAGCATTTCGTGTTTGTTATTTGGGCCTATTTGTCTATGTTTTTTCCTGGGTTTGTATGAAGCTTAACGTAAGTAAGTCTGTAATAAAAGGGGGACCAGGTTTTTATTTAGCATAAAATAAAACTTTAAAAAAAAATGTGATTGAATTCTTTTCAACTTGTTTCATAACGTTATGTCTATTTTATTTTCAGTTCACCAGACATGCGTATGGCTGATATTTGATTTGACCAGATATTCAAAATATCATTCACAATCAATTTTCTGTCAAGTATTAAATTGCTTTGTCTACGTACAAAGTGGTACTGACCAACTGATCCACTAACCTACTGACCCACTAACCTACTGACCCACTGACCCACTGACCTGGAACTCGAGCGCCATGAACGTGGTGGACAGCGACAACTCGCGCTCCTCCCACCGCGCGAACGTCCTAGAGCGCAAGCGCCTGGAGCAGGTCTTCGACATCCTGGAAAACGCCAAGCTCAACCTGGCCATCGACCTGCGCAAGTCCCAGGCCAACTACCGGCGGCAGCTCCAGATTTACCGCCACCGGCAGCGGCAGATCGTAATGTCAAGGTCGAACAGTTTACTCTCCGAATCCGACGTCCTGCCGGTCAGTCCGAGGAATGTTATTTCAAGGGCGGATAACCGGGCCAAAACAGGGGAGATCACTCCGAGAAGTAATGACGTCGGCGGAGACGTGAACCCCGAAGAGCATGCGCATACCAAAGACGACGTCGGGAAGACACCCGCCGTGACGTCACTTCCGTCAGACGAGCCTTTCGTCACAAAACTGAGCCCAGCGTCACGTACTATTCAAAGGGAAGCAACTGTAACACTCGGTTCAAATTCTCCCAGACGCGAAAAAAACACGGCGAAAGTTTCACCCTACACCGCAAAAGTGCCCACCGCCATATCTTTTCCCCCTTTACAACCCAAACCCAAGGGAGAGAATAAATTATCCCCCTTGACCAAGCCCACTAGTCAGTCAGGAAAAGACAATTCGCGAGATGAGTACACAGATGCTATTTTAGAAATCGGGAAAATGTCCAGCCGACAAAGATCAAAGCTTGACCTTCGCCCCAGAACTGCCTGGACGTTGCTAGTGGGTGCAGGGGAAGCCCACAAGCCCGACGATCAAAAACCCGTAAGCCCAGTGTTGCCAGTGGTGGAGGGGAGGATCGGTGACCCGAAACAGCAGGTTGGTGACCTCACCTTCAGTTTGTCAGTATTTTTTGTCATTGTCAGTATTTTTGTCTTTGTCGGTATTTTTGTCATTGTCAATATTTTTGTCTTTGTCGGTATTTTTGTCATTGTCAGTATTTTTGTCATTTTCAGTATTTTTGTCATTGTCAATATTTTTGTCTTTGTCGGTATTTTTGTCATTGTCAGTATTTTTGTCATTGTCAGTATTTTTGTCTTTGTCAGTATTTTTGTCACTGTCAGTATTTTTGTCTTTTTCAGTATTTTTGTCTTTGTCAGTATTTTTTTCATTGACAGTATTTTTTTCATTTTCAGTATTTTTTGTCTAAATTTTTGTCATTGTCAGTATTTTTGTCATTGTCAGTATTTTTGTCATTGTCACTATTTTTTGTCTAATTTTTTGTCATTGTCAGTATTTTTGTCATTGTCAGTATTTTTGTCATTGTCAGTATTTTTTGTCTAAATTTTTGTTATTGTCAGTATTTTTGTCTTTGTCAGTATTTTTGTCATTGTCAGTATTTTTGTCATTATCAGTATTTTTTGTCTAAATTTTTGTCATTGTCAGTATTTTTTGTCTAAATTTTTGTTATTGTCAGTATTTTTGTCTTTGTCAGTATTTTTGTCATTGTCAGTATTTTTGTCATTATCAGTATTTTTTGTCTAAATTTTTGTCATTGTCAGTATTTTTGTCACTGTCTGTAATTTTTGCCATTGTCAGTATTTTTGTCTTTGTCAGTATTTTTGTCATTGTCAGTATTTTTGTCATTGTCAGTATTTTTGTCATTATCAGTATTTTTTTGTCTAAATTTTTGTCATTGTCAGTATTTTTGTCTTTGTCAGTATTTTTGTCATTGTCAGTATTTTTGTCATTATCAGTATTTTTTGTCTAAATTTTTGTCATTGTCAGTATTTTTTGTCACTGTCTGTAATTTTTGCCATTGTCAGTATTTTTTCAGTGTCAGTATTTTTTCTCTGTCAATCATTTTGTCACTGTCAATTATGTTGTCACTATCAATATTTTAGTCACAATATTTTTGTCTTTTGTCAATATTTGTGTCATTGTTGGAATTTTTTGGTCAGGAAAACTGTTAAATGTAAATGTCTGCATTTTTTTGACATTGTCATTATCGTTTTTTGTTGCCATTGTCATGTGTTTTTAGTGTCATGCCTTTTGTTTCGTCAGTGTCGTCACTTTCTGTTTTCAATGTCTCTTGTCAGTGTCTACAATTCTATTGGCAGTGTCATCCTTTGATATAGTTTAACAGTTCAAGTCACAACGGCTGTAAACGCTTTCAAGTTCTTTTTGTCTCTGCTGTTTATTTATTATGCCATTCATCATTACACACTAGACTGCGAGAAATATCTAAATCAAGAACAGAACAGAAGGATTGGTGGGAGGGTGGGGGTCGACACAAAAACATGTGTAAGTGAATCTATGATCATACAACATAACATTCGAGTAGTCTAGATCGAAACGCCGGAGTGAAAATTCGCACACTTCTACTTGACCTAAACATTAGTAAAGGTATCCAATAGATATTAAAGTGACCCACGCTTTTCTTTATAGTTATTTAAATAGTAGTCTATAATTTATTTTCTACTTTTTAGTGCATTAGTACATAAAAGCTTGTTATTAAAACGTTTTTTATGAAAAAAAAATTCACTATTCTGCTTGTTAATTTATTGCAGTTTCTAACCCTAGAGCGAAAAAAAAACATGAAAGCCTTCTTTACATATTCCGTTTCCATTCTCTTTCAGGATAAGGCATAATTTTTTTGTACGCATCCAACATCTAAGTGTTAAGAAAACCATTTTGGTTTCATATTTTACTTTATTACAGTATGTTGGCGTGTTACTAGAGTGTGTAGTTTAACTTTTTTTTGCAATTAAAACAAGTACATCAACATCAAATTTTTTAACATAATTTTGAACACCAAATGAAAACGAAAGGTTTTGCAAATGTACATAATGAATATTTACATGATGTCATGTATTTGATTATAAAAAAAAATTGCAAAGGATGACAGTAAAAGGGGTGAAGGTCAAATGAAAGTGTCAGAAGTCTGGGTGGGGAGAGGAAAGGAAATTTTTCAGAGAGGGTCAATGGGACAGTGAAGCATTTTCTATGTAGGGAAACAACTTAAGTTGACTAGTTGAAAGGGTGTTGTTGTGGTCGCATTGAGTTTTCAAAAGGTTGCTGTGTGAAAGATGAGGGGAAAGAGACAAGATTTAGAACTTTAAATAGAGTGTGTAGTTTAACAAAACGAGTTAAATAAAAAGTCGTAGCCACAAGAGCAATGACAATAGTGCGTGGATTGATCGAAGAAAAATATATAAATCCCTTTCACTATTTTAATCTATATTTGTTTTCAACTTTAATCTTAAGTATAAAATAAAAATGTTTATACATTTAATTTGTTAAAACTTTATAATAATACATATAATATAAATATATATATTTTTTCTGGCTTATATTTGGTTTTTTACTTTTAAATACAATTGATGTGAGACCCATTTACTCACAGAAAACCGTTTTCCCTAGATTTGTCGCCCTTACAACCAAAATATTTCAATGTTTGCGCGTTTAAATCTTATTAGAAGTTGTGGAATAACGTGGCATAAACATATTATTATAGCACTTTTATAAAATCAATTATGTCTGCGTTGTCTTACTATAATACGCCACATGTCTGTCGGACATTGTTATCGCCAAGTTTTAAAACTGAAACTAGTAATCGAAATTTTGCTTAAGTTCATTGGGGGTTAAGTTTGTTTTTTTGTTGGTCACAAAATGGGTGACGCGATGTTAGTTCACACGGAAAGTGGTCATTCGCTTGTGTCGTCCGATTTGATTGGACGATGAAAAGCGTCGGACAGGAGACAATGAACGAGCGAGGAAAGCGAGTGTCACCTTCCCCCCTGGCAACTCACGTCATTGTCCAGCGTCCAGCGGGTGTCCCCGTTGGCCAGGTAAGCGCGGCCAAAAAGTTTTTGTCGGTCAAATATCTCGTGGCTAATTTTGGCGCGTGCCAACTACAGGATGCGCTGGGCATCAAGGGGGGGGGGGGGGGTGGAATGACCGTAGGGGAGTTAATTAGTTGATGAGGCTGACCGCTGCGCGAGCAAGTGGACACTTGAAGGACAATTGGAATTAGGTCATGGTTTTTTTTGTATCATACGCCACGCGTAGAGGACATACAGAAGCGTCAGATTGTATAAAGAGTAAGGTGTAAATTTAACTGAAGCGAAGCTAGCATGCGCTTGGGTATAGAGTATGGGGGTAGGGGATATAAATGGGAAGGTTGGGGGGGGGGGTGTAAAATTAGGGGAGAACTGGTTTTGTCAATTGTATCGTCATTCGGTTCAGCGTCATCTCTAACTATTGTCTGTTAGGGTTAAACGGGTACCGGTAATTAAGTCCACCCCCCCTCCACCTTCTATGAGGTACTTAATTATGGTCTAGGCCAAATGATAAAACGAGCAAAAACTGTTGAGTCAAGTCACTTTAGAATGAGTGAAGTAGTTCAAATCATGCTCCACCACCACCCCCCCCCCCACCCCCCACCCCCTACCCCCAACCGCACACCCCACCAACATAAAAATAGGGTCGGATTAGGGTAAACAAGGTAAGGTGGCGATGGACATTAGCATAACTAGAATAGATTGTTGCACTGGAAACTTACGGGGAGGGGGGGAGCGGAATACATTTTCCAGGGGGGGTGGGGAGGTAGACATTGGTAAAAGTATATATTTTCTATATAAATTTTATTGTATTTCTTTCGGGGGGTGGCGGTAGGCGTGTTTGATGTGGGAGGGGGGGGGGGAGGACTATATTGCGCGAACTATTAACCATTAAATGATGTTGCAATTTTTTTTAAAAATTGTTTATATTAGATGCATTATTTCAAATTTTAGTATTAAAACAAAACGAAGTTTGTCAAATAAAAAATAAAAGTATGTGTTTAATGATTCCTTTTAGGTCTTGTGGTCAAATGACGTCCTTAACTCAGGGCCAGGGGCGACCCTTCCCGGCACCCGGGGACAAACTTTCAATTTGGCGCCCCCCTCGGGAGCAAACTTTCGATTCCCCCCCCCCTCAAACTTTCGTTTTTTTTTATAGGCATTATCCACTTTTTATGTTGTTGTTGTTTTTTTTTTAGTATCGCTACACTGAGGAGTCAGCTAGAAACTAAGTCGGTCTCTGGGGGATGGGGGGGTGGAGTTTCGGATTTATTCGATTGGTAGATATATTAAAATAGCCTTCCAAAGCTTAGTCATACCCACATGTTGGCATAGTATTCGAAATTAACCAAACGCTAAACCCAAAAGGAAGCCGTTCCCTGTCGAGTTTCCTAAACCTAAACCTAAACCTGGCTTTAAAAATATGTTTGAAGACGATATAAGATAAGAGAAAGAGTAGATAATTAATTACAATACTTCTTCTTCTTTCTTAATTGTAACATTGTCAACTTGTTATACGGCAAATGGTTCGTTGACTCCGACTTCAACGGGCATTTTTTTTTTATTTACCTCCATAGCCTTTGTCCACCCATGCATATTGTTATATGCTAGGCAACTGTTATTTAAATTTGGAGTTTTTTTTTTCTCCTAGATGGGTTGCTGCCCCTAGCTAATGGGCCTCATTTTTTCGGAGGTACAATTGGAAACTTTTGGAATTAATCAATAATTAATCATATCCACTCCCGTCTGAGACAAGCGACCTACAATACAACACTTGTTTTTAATTAAAAATTTAATTAAAATTTAATTTAAATTTATTCATTTCTTCAATTCCAGGTCCAATATTTCGAGAAAGATGAAATGGAAGAAAGAGGAACTTCAATTTAATTTTACTTTATACATTTCTTCAATTCCAGGTCCGATATTTCGAGAAAGATGAAATAGAAGAAAGAGGAACGTTCTACAACTTCCTAGTTCAAGGCCGTCTGCAGCGAGAACAGACGAGATTTCGACACATCTGTGAAAAAATCAACGGATTTTGTACAGACTTTGGAAGCAGAAACTAAACAAACGCTAACACTTGCTAGTTTCTTATGCGCGTGCGTTATGTACGCGGCGCATTGCATTGTGGGTTGTACCGGTGTCTATAAATAGATTAAATGCTATTTCAAACAATCAAAGATCTACGACTTGCATCGTTTTTTTTTTAAAAACAAAAATAAAAATAAACTCACAAAACAAAAGGTATACGTCAGAGTCAACTTATTCATTAGGCACTGTGCCTATAGTCCACGACCTTTTAGGCCCCAAAATGTCGGAAAATGAATTAGTGAAAAAATAAATTAAAATTAAAAAATGACATTTTCGACCCAGAGAAATATGAGTTTTTTTCCCGCTTAAATGCAACCATTACCCTAGCTATGGGCCTACGGAGATCTCAAAACGGCCCTTGTATACATACAAGTATATTTTTTAATACTATTAAAGTAACGTGTATCCACATAGAGGTTGTATAGGCCTTCTGATGTAACAAAAATACTGTGGGTGAAAGCCACGCATACAGAGAGCTAGAGGTGCTTATATTGTAAAAATAATAGTAAAGTTATCCTTTCGAACTTGGCGGTCCATGTGGCAGGTGAAATAGAGTTAACCAGTTTCTATTACTTCAGCACTTTGCCAGCCGCCTTTTCCCTAACGTGAGTATCGACCCAAGAACACCCTACAGTAATACGTGCAGGAGCGTAGCCAGGATCGTCTCATGGGGGGGGGGGGGGGGTTCAAATTTATACCCGGGGAAAATTTTCGATTTGCACCCACCCCCCTCAAACTTTTGATTTGCACACCCCCCTCAAACTTTCGATTTGCACCCCCCCTTCAAACTTTCGATTTACACCCCCCTCATACTTTATCAGTAGCGTAGCGAGAGGGGGGGGGGGCGGGGGGGGGGGGGGGACATATGTCCCCGGGCGCCGAGCTTAGGGGGCGCCAAAATGGGTTGGAAAAATAAATTGAAAGGTTGAGGGGGGTGCAAATTGAAAGTTTGAGGGTGGGGGTGCAAATCAAAATCTCGAGGGGGGTGCAAATCGAAAGTTTGAGGGGGGGGGTGCAAATCAAAATCTCGAGGGGGGCGGTGCAAATCGAAAAGTTTGTCCCCGGGCGCCGGGAAGGGTCGCTACGCCTCTGTACTTTATATATATATATACCGAGGGGTCTATGGGGGGTTTATGACCCCCGTAACCCCCCCCCCTGCCTACGCCACTGAATACGGGGCATACTAACAATTGCTTAAAAAGAAGAAACTATAAACGTAAATTAGCAACTGACTATAAATATTGCCAACAAATGAATAGTTGATAGGGAAATTTGATGAATCCCTTTTCTTCTTCTTCTTCTTCTGCATTCTTAATTTAGTTTATGGTGGAGGATTTAAGCAACTTCGTGTATGAACTGGACTGTGGTCTCCAGGTCTGCAGGTGCCCCATATAGTTTTTCCTTGAGTGGGGTGTATAGGGGCCAGTGTTTGGATCAGGCCTGGCTATATAAGGAACAGTCCTGTAGGACGTGCTCTACATTCTCCGGGGCCATATGCCACATGGGTAAGTTTCGTCATACACAACTTGAATACGTTTTTTTTTAAAAAAAAAAAAAATTAAAGTCCACAACTGTCAACGAGCAAAAGCAAGTGTGTTAGCTCATAATGTACTAAGAACACATTGCTATATAACGAGACGGGGGGGGTGTGCCCAGATTTCTATTTATATACTTCGATGAATAATCAGTAGGCTTTTTAATTAAACATGTTAGCATTTTCATTCATTCATGGTTAAAAATATACTGCTCCAATTAAACAGACTAGACTAATTTAATTTACTTTAACATTAATTCTCACCATATGAGTGTTACGCCATATAAGCCCCCCCCCCCCTTTCCCCAAATCCCCTCTGACGTCACACAGCTCAAATAAATCAAAAAGTGCGATATAAGATTAATATTCTCTATTTATTTATTTTTATTTTGCCAGTAGGGGTGGAGGAGGGGAGAACGCATGTTCCGGGGAGAAGGATGTTTGTCTCCCCCCCCCCCCCCCCCAATAGATGCCTGAAAGAAACTCTGGTCAGAAATAGCATATTGAAAAATCCCTTAAAATCCCTGCTGATAGCTGCCTGTGTATTGTGGTGCTATAATTGCCGCCATGCGCTGTACGGTAAAATAACGAAACAAGGGAGATAACAATCTTTAATAACGTTTTCTGATCAGGCAAGCCATGGAGTGGAGGCTCCGTCTGTTTACGGGCCTTGATAACAACATGAAAGTTTTAACCGCATTTCGCAGTGTTTTATTAGTTGTCACCACATGCAGATATTATTTAATTAAACCCACTAAAAGTCTAGACCCCATGCCTTTTGCGTGTCGTGGAAGGGGCGGGGGAGAAAAACAGGTATAGTAGAATATATATATATATATATATATATATATATATATATATATATATATATATATATATATATATATATATATATATATATATATATATATACATATATAACACAACTATCCTTCACCCACACAGCGCACTTATTTCACACAACAAAACCTACCTTCACATATATGACACGACATACTTCACATACAGGACAACTTACATTCAAGCACAGACCCCAATGTACCTTTACACACACAAACAAAATACCTTTACACACACCAGAATGTACCTTCACACACACACCACAACGTACCTTCAAACACACACACCACACCATACATTCACACACACCACAATACATCTTCACACACACACACAACAATACATCATCACACACACACACCACAATACATCTTCACACACACACACAACAATACATCATCACACACACACACCACAATACATCATCACACACACACACCACAATACATCTTCACACACACCACAACATACCTTCACACACACACCACAATACATCTGATATATATATATATATATATATATATATATATATATATATATATATATATATATATATATATATATATATATATATATATATATATATATATATATATATATATTAGTGTGTGTGCAAAGGGAGATAATCGTCTTTAATATAGTTTTTCTTTTCATATCAAAGACTGTCTGGTACACGCACTGTTAATCAACCATGCAGACCACCACACAGTTTTGGCCACGTGTCGTTGGATCTAATAACGTGCCTCTTTAATTAATTAATCCGATTCAACTAAGGGTCAAACAAGGACTCAGTTGCATAGCCGTATCCGTTCATTGATCTACCATGAATGTTCTTTTACGAAAAATATGAATTATGAAAGCAGTCTGGCTTCTATACCGTTCCAAGATAATATTTATTAACTAATTATATAAAATTAATTAAGGGAATGATGTATATATACAAGATAACATCTGATGGTTTTGGGCTGAGTTCGATTGTTTTGGTTTCAATACTGAGGACAGAAAATGGGGTTTTCATTACTGAAGAGTGGGGTGCTGGTTTATGTTGGGTTGGCGTTGGCTGCTTGTATGAAGGTAAGTTGTGGTGTGTGTGTAAAGGTATGTTGTGGTGTGTGTAAAGGTATGTTGTGGTATGTGTGTGTAAAGGTATGTTGTGGTGTGTGTGTGGAGGTATGTTTTCGTGTGTGTGTGTGTGTAAAGGTATGTTGTGGTGTGTGTGTGTAAAGGTATGTTGTGTGTGTGTAGAGGTATGTTGTGGTGTGTGTCTAAAGGTATGTTGTGGTGTGTGTGTAAAGGTATGTTGTGTTGTGTGTAAAGGTATGTTGTAAGTATGTTTTAAGTTACTTGTAACTACTTAAAGCTATTCCAGACAAAACACTTGAATTGGTTATATCTTTAACACTCTATCTATGTATTGGCTTTTAGATTTCAAGCAAAAATTGGAAACATAAAAGTAATGGTAATTCATTTTTTTCTTCATATTTTTAAAAAATATTGCATGATTTTTTTAAGTCCATATTTTTAGCGCAATTTCCATACGGAAAATTGCGATTATTAACTCGTCATTTCTGGATGTATGAATGGATGGATGTGTGTCCGCAGCTTTAAGTGGTATCTCCTCCTCAACAAAGCAATATCGAGGACTAGTTCCAAAGTAAATATGTTAAGCAAGTTCCAAGGATGATTGTGGGCCAAAAAAAATCCCGGAATTCCTTCCTGGATTTCCCGGAAAGGCCAAAAAACCTCGAACAATTGCAGTTTTTGGTCCATATCTCGGCAACCAGACCACTTAGCGACATGAAACATTTACCAATCGATTCCTGCCATAATTTAGAACAATATTGCCGAAGAAAGTTTTCAAAAATATCCTTTCGTTCGGTCACAAAAAAATAGTTACTACTTTTTTTAACTGAGCATCTTGTAGGCCTAGGAAGAACATTTAAACTGAGCATCGTGTAGGCCTAGGATGATATTTACTACCTTTTTAAACTGAGCATCGTGTAGGCCTACTCGTTAAAATAAAACTATTTCCGTTGATATAGGTTAATATAGTTGTCTTTTTTTAGCGCAAAAAATATCCTTTCGTTCGGTCACAAAAAATTAAAAATTGTTATGGATAACATAAGGAAATTGAGCTTAAATTGTCACTAGACTTTTTATTAACTTGTTTTAGTGTTAGGTGTGATAGTTTAGAGTTAAAAACTCAAAATTAAAAAGTAATATTTGACAATATATGTGACCATTGGGCAAATAAAATTATGGTCAACACTTCATTAGGGTAGTTGGGGCACCACAGAGTGATGTATCTAGGGCTAAGTGTCTGACCACAGCCGGATGCACGCCTATCTTACCCCCCCCCCCCCACTTCAGGACTAACGAAATATAATTTATATAGAACATATATACTTTTATCAGTGTCCGCCCTCCCCCCCCTCCACACACACGAAAGTTTCAAGTGCCAGTCCCCCACTTCCTCCCCCCCCCTCCTCTCCCCCCCCCCCCCCCCTGTAGAAAAACTCTAATAGCAACACTGGCCGAATACCTCCATGTAGTTCACCTTGGTCACAAACAGGTGGCTGTTGAAGTTCATCTAGGAACTCTTGCGCCATGGAAGGTCATACACCCAGTGATGATTGTTTCTTCTTCTTCGTTCTTAATTATTAGTGTTGAAGGGGATCGAGATTTATCTGCCAGTGGGTTTGAACTCGAGACTTTGTTCGAATTTATCAACCATGAGCTTTTTGCCGACTCGACCACGCCTCCAACACAATTAGGCGTTACGTGTCAACTGGTTATGCACCATTGAGGCCATTGACTCCGATTTCAGCCTGCTTTTCTTTTTGGATTTGCTTCCATAGCCTTTGTCCAACCAAGAACAAACTACAATGCAGCAGTTGTTTAATTATGGAGTTGTCTCTCCTAGAAGAGTGGCTGTCCCCAGCTAACGAGCCTCATCTGCCCGAGGGTTCGAACTCGAGACTTTTCGGTTTAGCAACCATGAGCTTTACCGACTCGACCACGCCGACCCCTTTGTTTGATTTTGGAGGTTTTTTTTTTACCTAGATGGGTTGCTGTCCCCAGCTATCGAGCCTCATCTGCCCGAACTCAGGTTCGAACTCAGGACTTTTCTGTTTAACTATACCGACCCGACCACCCCGACCCTACTCTTCTCGACCACCCCCTTCCCAAATTAAACACCCACGTCATAACTTCCCAGACGCCCCACCCTGCGGCTCCCGCCCCATACCTGGCAACGATGCCCTAGACGAAAGATCTCTGTCCCGAGCGTCAAAGATCGTGGGCGGTGTGGAGGCGGTGGCGGGTTCGGAACCCTGGCAGTTCAACATGATGCTGGACGTCTCGCCCGTGGAGGACAAGGACGGGGTGTCCACGTTACACCAGTGTGGGGGAACTATTATCGATGAGTACTGGCTTCTCACTGCCGCTCATTGCTACACGTAGGTTTCGTTGATTTTTTAAAATTTAGTCAATACTTTAAAAATAAACCGGGAGTGATCTCCCCTAAACTTTCTCGAATATTCTTATATAAAATAACAGGGGATGGGAACTCGGGCTATAGACTTCTAGACATGATTTTTAATCCATTTTAAATACTTAAAGTTTTAAAAATAGAATAAAATCTCGTAGACAAATTAATTGCACACCAAGTGAACGCGAATAAAAAAGCGCATAATAGTGCGCAATATTATTAGTACTTTAAAAATTTACATTAGTTTTTTGAGAAATCGGAAGTAGCGTAAATTACTACTTCCGGTCAACGGAAATTACTCAAAATTTAACAGAAGGTAGAGAATTAGATCTTTTACTTACATGTGAAATTTAATTTATCTATCTGAAATAGTACTCAAGTTATAGGCTTTTGAAAAATTCAAAGTAGAAAAAGTACCACTTCCGGTTGTCGGAAATCGCTCAAAAGTTGATACGGATCTACGATTTTGATAAAATACTTATATATGAAATTTCATCAACCTAGCTGTAACGGTACTCAAGTTATCGTGTTTACACATGGACACACACACACACAGACACACACACACACAGACACACAGACATACGGACAAGATTGCAAAATTATGTTTTTCCGTATCAGTGAGATGCAAAACGTCGAGATTTGCAAAAATCTCGATTTTTTTTTTTTGCACGATTACAAGACTTTCTCTATACTTCGTATATACGAGAAAGTAAAAAAGATAAAAATTAGATTTTTAAATTATTAATCATTTTAATGGGACGGAGTGGTCTAGCGGTAGAGAGCTGGATTGCTAACCACTAAGAATCGAATCCGGGTTCAAGTCAGTAGACCGTCCATGAGTCCACCAAACTCGGGTACCTAACTCACGTTAGGGAAAGTAAAGGCGGCTGGGCATATTGCTGACCACACTATCTCTTCATATGCAGAGGTCGCTGAAACAAGTGAACCAGAGGCGTAGCGATGGGGGGGGGGGGGGGGGGCAAGGGGTACATATGTCCCCGGGCGCCGACTTTAGGGGGCGCCAAAATGGGTTGTAAAAACAAATTAAAATGTCATTTTAGCTGCATTTTTGCATTATAAATAGCAAATCGAAAGTTTGACGGGGGGGGGGGGGGGGTGCAAATAAAAAATTTGCTCCCAAGGGGGCGCCAAATTGAAAGTTTGTCCACGGGCGCCGGGAAGGGTCGCTACGCCTCTGAAGTGAACTCTACTTCACTTGCCCCATTGACCGTTAGATTCGAAAGGGGACTTTATCATTTTAATACTCATTATTTAGAGAAAAGAATGGACGAACATATATTTAATTTATTAAGACGCAATTAAGTTCCGTCTTGTGAATTAGTATTTAGCCAGGTGGTGGTAATAAGAAGATTTGTATAAAAATATTAATGAATATTGATTGAACTACTTGTCTGAACAGAAAAACTACCAAAATAACAGTACTCAATGACAAAAATGAACAGGATCTTAAAGAAATAAGCATGTAAGTAATTGTATATTTAAATAGCGAAGTATATTTAATATATATTGAAATGTTAATAAAGTATTGCTTAGAGTAGAGCGCTAGACTGCTAAACGCGAAAGTCTCGAGTTTGAATCCGGGTTTAAGTCAGTAGAACGTCCGTAACTCCGCCCATCTCTGAATGATACTAAAATCAATCAGGTAAAGTAAAGCTGGGCATAGTGCTAACCACACTATCTGTTCATATGCCGAGGTCACAGAAACATGTCAATTCTACTTCACTTGCCCCATGGACCGTCAGGTTCGAAAAGGGAAATCTATATATAAAATGTTACATATGTATATATACTACATAATTATATATTATTATATACAACATTTATTGATAAATATTTAGTTATATATCAATTATAATGCACATACATAGACACACATAAATATATTTGTACATATATTATTATATATAAAAACACACACACATGTACATATAAACAATTTTCAAAGATAAATAAGCGGAGAGAGACTTATTCATGTACTTTATACTCATAAATAAAATTGTGTATACACATTTCAGAAATGTGAACAACTACTACGTTGTTGTCGGTGACTACAGCCTAAAAGAGGATGAGGTGGAACAGGAGAGGTTTGAGGTGGAAGCCTACATCCTACACGAGAACTACGACGCTTCGACCAGTATACACAACCTTTTGTTTTATTTTAATTACCTTTTTTAAAAACTTCTTCGTTCTTAAGGGGTCCCCTTCAACACAATTAAGTTTTACTAGTCAATTTGTTATGCGTCATGGAAGTTAAATTTCGATGTCGGAAAAGGATATTAAGTATACAGGTCAACTTGTTATGCGCCATTGAGACCATTGACTCCGATTTCAGCCTGCTTTTCTTTTTTTTTTTTTTTTTATTTGCTTCCGTAGCCTTCGTCCAACCAAGAACAAACTACAAGGCAGCAGCTGTTTGGTTTTGGAGTTGTCTCTCCTAGAAGAGTTGCTTTCCCCAGCTATCGAGCTGTCGACTCACTTGCCGGGGGTTCGAACCCGAGACTTTTCGGTTCAGCCTAACCGATCCGCACACGCTGAGCTCTCACTGTGAATGATAATACAAAATTACGCAGGTGTAGCATGAACTCAGGTTTACTCTTGTAACATGTATACTATATTTGACATGTTTACTATACATGTCTAAAAAAAAATTTTACCGGCAGAACAAAATGTCATCCTATTGGTAAACTGTCTACCGGCAGAACAAAACTCACCTGTATAACTCTTGTGTCTACCGACAGAACAAAACTCACCTGTATAACTCGTTTGTCTACCGGCAGAACAAAACTCACCTATATAACTCTTTTGTCTACCGGCAGAACAAAACACCTCTATATAACTCGCTTGTCTACCGGCAGAACAAAACTCACCTGTATAACTCGCTTGTCTACCCGGCAGAACAAAACACCTCTGTATAACTCACTTGTCTACCGGCAGATGAAAACGACATCGCCTTGATCAAGATCAAGCCTAACGACGGCCATGGGATACAGTACAGTGACCGCGTCCAGCCTGCCTGCCTGCCTGATGCCGACACGGACTACACCGTGGGGCTGGCCTGTATCATCTCAGGGTGGGGGAATACCAACGGGACAGGTGAGTCCCCACCCTCACCTTTTTGGTTAGCTGAATATTGATTATAGTTCTAGAGCCCTAACCCCAAAATGATTAACATCTTGATGTGGTCTGCGTGGATTAATATTAAGGTTTTCTTAGAGAGAAAGAAAGACTGGGGGGGGGGGGGGGGGGGGGGGGGGGAAAAGAAGGTCAACACAAGACAATTTCTCCGGGGGGGGGGGACTAAATTTTCCTTTGGGGGGGGGGGGGCTCGAAAAGTATATATTTTCTATATTCTAGGCCCTCCCAAGTCCAACGATAGCAAGCCACTGGGAGGTAGGGGCCAGGGGGATTCCAAATATTGCTGTTACGTAACGGGAGACACCTGTCATCTTGGGGATCATAGGTGGGGTAACAACCCCCTAACAGCACACACCCTGCCTACGCCACTGACTGCTCTACATTATGTATCTCTCTCAGTAAATAAACAGAAATGTTTTACATCAGTGTTTTACACCTAGATAAAAAAAAGCTAAATTTGTTTTTAAAATTAGAAAATTTTCTAATACCAAATATTTTTCTCCTGATAATTTTGTAGAGGACGGAGTTGATAATCAGAGTTTCTTCCAGGCATCTCAACCCCCCCCCCCCCCCCCGAACGAAATGAAATTTTTATAATTTATTTAGAAAATATATACTTTAATCAGTGTCCGCCCCCCCCCCCCCCCCCCCCGAAAATTTCAAGTGCCCCCCTTCCCCGGAGAAAAAAGTCTGGAAGAAACACTGTTGATAATCCAACAATCTTGCTTTTAAACAAGAAAATTTTCTAATACCAAATATTTTTTCTCACGATAATTTTGTAGAGGACGGAGTTGATAATCCAACAATCTTGCAAGACGCCGTGGTCCCCATCTTAGCAGACGACGATTGCACCAAGTTCTATGAGAACACTGAGGATAAATTCAACAAGGAAACGATGCTGTGTGCGGGTTACCGTGAGGGGGGCGTTGACACATGCCAGGGGGACAGTGGTGGGCCTCTGGTCTGTAATGTAAATGGTAAGTTCATTGGTGGGCCTCTGGTCTGTAATGGTGGGCCTCTGATCTGTAATGGTGGGCCTCTGGTCTGTAATGTAAATGGTAAGTTCATTGGTGGGCCTCTGGTCTGTAATGGTGGGCCTCTGATCTGTAATGGTGGGCCTCTGGTCTGTAATGTAAATGGTAAGTTCATTGGTGGGCCTCTGGTCTGTAATGGTGGGCCTCTGATCTGTAATGGTGGGCCTCTGGTCTGTAATGTAAATGGTAAGTTCATTGGTGGGCCTCTGGTCTGTAATGGTGGGCCTCTGGTCTGTAATGGTGGGCCTCTGGTCTGTAATGGTGGGCCTCTGGTCTGTAATGGTGGGCCTCTGGTCTGTAATGGTGGGCCTCTGGTCTGTAATGGTGGGCCTCTGGTCTGTAATGTAAATGGTAAGTTCATTGGTGGGCCTCTGGTCTGTAATGGTGGGCCTCTGGTCTGTAATGGTGGGCCTCTGGTCTGTAATGGTGGGCCTCTGGTCTGTAATGGTGGGCCTCTGGTCTGTAATGGTGGGCCTCTGGTCTGTAATGGTGGGCCTCTGGTCTGTAATGTAAATGGTAAGTTCATTGGTGGGCCTCTGGTCTGTAATGGTGGGCCTCTGGTCTGTAATGGTGGGCCTCTGGTCTGTAATGTAAATGGTAAGTTCATTGGTGGGCCTCTGGTCTGTAATGGTGGGCCTCTGGTCTGTAATGGTGGGCCTCTGGTCTGTAATGGTGGGCCTCTGGTCTGTAATGTAAATGGTAAGTTCATTGGTGGGCCTCTGGTCTGTAATGGTGGGCCTCTGGTCTGTAATGGTGGGCCTCTGGTCTGTAATGGTGGGCCTCTGGTCTGTAATGTAAATGGTAAGTTCATTGGTGGGCCTCTGGTCTGTAATGGTGGGCCTCTGGTCTGTAATGGTGGGCCTCTGGTCTGTAATGGTGGGCCTCTGGTCTGTAATGGTGGGCCTCTGGTCTGTAATGGTGGGCCTCTGGTCTGTAATGTAAATGGTAAGTTCATTGGTGGGCCTCTGGTCTGTAATGTTAATGGTAAGTTCATTGGTGGGCCTCTGGTCTGTAATGTTAATGGTAAGTTCATTGGTGGGCCTCTGGTCTGTAATGGTGGGCCTCTGGTCTGTAATGGTGGGCCTCTGGTCTGTAATGGTGGGCCTCTGGTCTGTAATGTTAATGGTAAGTTCATTGGTGGGCCTCTGGTCTGTAATGTTAATGGTGAGTAAATTGGTGGGCCTCTAGTCTGTAATGGTGGGCCTCTGGTCTGTAATGTTAATAGTAATTGGTGGGCCTCTCGTCTGTAATGTTAATGGTAATTGGTGGGCCTCTCGTCTGTAATATGAATGGTGAGTTAATTGGTGGGCCTCTAGTGTGTAACGTCAATAGTAATTAGTGGGCCTGACAATGTGTGGCCCTCTCATTTTTAACGTTAATGGTAAATTGTGGTCCACGTCTCTAATATTAAACGTATTCTGTGGGCCCCTGTTATGTAATATCAATGGATCTCCTGAACTATTAAATGACTCTTTTCATTAGGTATGGGACCAATTGATAAGAAAATACGAAAGGGTTGTGCATTTTTTTTTAATTTTACACCGAGGTTTTTACAATACTAATAGAGTAAATTTTTATAGTTACTCTTTCGAACCTGACGGCCCAATGAGCAGGTGTAGTAGAGTTCACATCTTTCTGTGACCACGGTGGGGATAGAAATTAGGAGAAATTAGGGACGTCCTACGGACTCGAGCCCGGGATCCGAACTCAAGACTTCCAGCTTAGCGGTCGAACGCTCTAGCGTTCGACCATGTCATTCCACACTGTATTTTTTTTTAAATTTAAGTGAAATATAAATTAAAAGTATAGCTCCTAAAATATTTTATTAGAAATACTACTAAATTTCTTTGCATTGTTTTAATTAACACATTCGGACAACCACTTAATTTAAAAAATGAGGTGCTTTTTTTTCTTTGCAAGGCGCATACACAGTTTTAGGCGTGACGTCATTCGGCGAAGGGTGCGCCCAGCCCGGGTACCCCGGAATCTACACCCGAGTACAGAGTTACCTGGACTGGATTGCTGCAACTATCGAGAAAAACAGTAGTGATGGCGGCTACGATTACTAGTTCACTCGATCTGAAACAGAGGCGTAGCGGCGGGGGGGGGGGGTACCCTAGGGGGCGCCAAAATGGGATGGAAAAAATTAAAAGCTCATTTTAGCTGCAGTTTTGCATTATAAATATAAAGAATATAATGGGGGGGGGCGCCAAATTGAAAGTTTGTCCTCTTGCACCGGGAAGGGTCGCTACGCCTCTGATCTGAAATGTAATCGTATTTTGGCTGATAAAGTTAAAACAGTTAAAATAAAGTCTTCACCTGTTTTTAATACCTAAAATTTGAGTTAAGCTTTTGTTAAATGTATTCGTCTTTTAGCTGCAAATAACTACATGTGGGCTTCAACGCTTTCAATAAATTTTGAAGAAAATTATGGGTTTTTTTCGTGAATTTGAGATAAAACGAATAACTTTTAGTTTTACATTTTTTTTAAATAAAACAAATAGGCCTACATCAACGTATGTGTGTTTGTTTGTTTAGTCTGTTACATAATTCAAAAATTTACAAAAACCATTTTACCATCGCAAATTAGTTGACTGTGAGAGGGGGTGGGGGTTGGAAGCAGTGGCGTTGCGAGGTCGGGTGTCACCCGGTGCGGCACTTAATGGTGTCACCCCCCCAGAGGCGTAGCGACCCTTCCCGGGGACAAACTTTCAAATTTTTGATTTGCCACCCCCTCAAACTTTCGATTTGCACCCCCCCCCCCCAAACTTTCGATTTGCACCCCCCCCCTCAAGTTTTTCTCTATATAATTTGCTATTTTTTGCCTTGGTGTCACCCCCCTAAATGGTGTCACCCGGTGCGGTCCGCACCCCCTGCCCCCCCCCCCCGCCCCCTCGCTACGCCTCTGGTTGGAAGTGGGGCTGGAGGTGGGGCCATCCAAGAGACCTAAGACAAGTATAAACGTGTTGATGTTTGGAGGATGATGTGTATGAAGGTCTCTATCGCATCGGTTAGCCGTTTTATAGAAATATGATTATCTGAAAATAGAATACTTTTTTAAAAATAATATTAAATTTTAAAAAGGAGGAAAATTAACCAAATTTTTTTTCCGCCTCAGACATGTAGTTTACAGCGTCAGTTTGCATTGCATGTTCGCTTTAGTATTGGAGTTTTTAACCAATTTTTTTTTTTTAAATGTTAAAGGGATTTCTTTTAATTTAGTTTGTTTCAAAAACAAATCACACAAATACACAGACAACCTTGAAGGCAACATTTTGTACTGTCAAAATGTATACCACATGCAACACTGAGATTTTGCAAAACAAAATCTTCCATACAGCATACCCATGCAGAATCTCACTTCGTAGAGAGACCCGCACTTTGGTAATGTTGCAAGTTCTTTTGTTTTTAGACTACCTACTACACCACGTTTTAAATAAACCGGGAGTCATCATCATCATCATTTTTTGTGGCCCCTGGAGAGCAAAGTGCTGCACCCACATATTTCCAGCGGACTCGGTTTTGGTCTGCCCCCTTTATCTGTGCCCATGTGAGCCCAGCTGTTTTCGCCTCTTCTACAACCGTTCTTCTCCATGTCTTCCTTGGCCGGCCAAGTTCCCATCCCCTGTTGTTTTATGTAAGAATTTTCGAGAAAGTTTAGGGGAGATCACTCCCGGTTTATTTAATCAATCCATTTTAAATACTTACACTTTTTAAAATAGAATAAAATCTTATAGAAAAAAGAATTGCACACCAAGTGAACGCCAAATAAAATGTGGATAATAGTGCGTAATATTATTAGTACTTTATAAATTCACATTTCAAAATTTGGCAGAAGGCAGAGAATTAGATTTTTTACTTACATGTGAAATTTCATTTATCTATCTGACATATTACTCAAATTATAGGCTTTTGAAAAATTCAAAGTAGAAAAAGTTCCACTTCCGGTTATCAGAAATCGCTCAAAAGTTGATGCGGATCTACGATTTTGATATAATACTTATAATAGAGTCCTTGCAAACACGTGATCTAAATCACGTGATACCTACGCCCGCCGCCACAGTGGTGTACATCAGACGTAAACACAATCAGCTGTTCGCCAGCGCTGGACGTGTTCACCAGCGCTGGACGTGTTCACTATATGTAAAGAACCGCACCCGCGGAAAAGGAAAAATATGTTAAAAAACTTGAACTCTTAGGAATTGAAGATCCTTATACTGTTATTGACAGTTTCGTGGATAATATAAATATGTGGACAAAATTTCTAAATAGAAATACTGTTAGTAATACCGTTTGCGTTTAGAGTTTAAGTAGACGAAGCTGATCAAATGCAGTAATATATTATAGGTTATCTACTGTAGCAAACGTGAGACCACTTAACTCCTACAAAACCCACACTACAACGGCTAATATAATCCATGGGTAATAACCAATCTGGGTAGCATGTTATACAATTTAAGACCCTTATAATCCAGCAGGAAAGTAATCAGACACATTAATACTGACGTTCAACCCTCATGATGGCTGCCCCCACCTGTATCTAGCCCACAATAAAACCAAAGAGGAGTCTGCCCTGCCCTCCCCTGAAGATGTCTCACCTCCGTGATACCCAGCCCCACAGAGATAGTATTTCTTATATACTTTTGACCCTCAGGGCCCAGCAGGGAGAACAAAGGGGAAAGTCCCACTGCTCTCCCCTCAACATTTCTCACCTCGGTGTCATGTTATGTCATTTATAGCACACATGGCTTATCAGGGGAAAGCATTAAGGCATTAAGAATCTTAACTCTGGACAGCTACACACTAGTATACTAGCTACACACTAGGTGCCTACTGTAAACTACTAGACTGTAGGCACTATGTAGACCTGCAATTGTATCAATTGTAGACTGGGTCCATTGTTATTATTCTAAACCATCTCACTTATAATGTTTCTAGCTTGATTTGTTTCTTTTATAAACAGTGGATTTAAAAAAAAATTAGCCTAATCATTAACCAAATAATAATAATGTGGTTATTTGTTGTTGGCTGGTATGATCTAGATTGTACTACTAGGCTACAAAAACTTAGTAGACCAATTACTAGATATGAATTTGAATTTAATTAAACTCAGTCCAGTATCAGATACATATTGCTGTAAAAAGACAACAAAGTAGGTAGGCCTTAGTAATTTATTAAAGCCTTCTACTACAATAATATCAACTACATGCTTGTATAAAGTTTTTACAATTTAATTTAAGTAGCAGATTCTAGATCTAAGTCTAGTCATACAATCTATTTCAATTTCAGAAAATTTCGTTTGCTAAAAAAATGATTAGATAATAGAGCGAGATTTTAGATCTTAGAGACAATTAAATGCTTTATTAGGCCTATTATGACTACTTTTGATTTATTATGGGTGTATTTTGAATCGAATGTAGATCTAAAGTAATTAAATTTAAGTAAAGAAGTAGATTCTAGATTCTATGTCTACCCAGCGGAGCCAGGTATTAGGCCTACTATTAGATCTTATTATTCTTATTATTACTTTTGACTTTTTCTTTTACTATTAGTATTTGTGAAGGTCGAGCATATTTGTTTTATTAATAGTTATCTTTTATAATTAAAATGAAGTTTATTATTTTACTGTCCTTACCTGAAACAAAGTATCGAGAACTGCATTTGATCAGATTCGTCTACTTTAACTCTAAACGCAAACAGTATTACTAACAGTATTTTTATTTAGAAATTGTGTCCACATATTTATATTATCTACGAAACTGTCAATAACAGTACAAGGATCTTCAATTCCTAAGAGTTCAAGTTTTTTAACATATTTTTCCTTTTCCGCGGGTGCGGTTCTTTACATATAGTGAACGCGTCCAGCGCTGGTGAACACGTCCAGCGCTGGCGAACAGCTGATTGTGTTTACGTCTGGTGTACACCACTGTGGCGGCGGGCGTAGGTATCACGAACGGACGTGACGTCATATGAAAGGACCCTATAATCAACCTAGCTGTAACGATACTAAAGTTATCGTGTTTCACACACACAGACACACACACATACACACACACAGACATACGGAAAAGATTGTAAAACTATGTTTTTCCGACTCAGGGAGGTGTAAAACGTCGAGATTTGCAAAAATCTCGATTTTTTTTTTTTTGCACGATTACAAGAGTTTTTATATAGGCCTACTTCGTATTTTTCGTCAGTTTGCCTTGCGTGTTCGCTTTAGTATTACAGTTTTCATCATCGGTTTGTGAGGACTGCTACAGATTTACAAAAGTAATATTTCTTTCTTACTTGTAGCCTACTTTCATTCATTTAAGATGGTTTACTTATACATAGATCTAATTTAAAATTATTTAATGCCATCACAAGATGCTCTACAGTTTGTGGTGATGCAAGACACGCAGCAAGCATGTTTTTTTAACACGTTTTTCTTAACTCAGCTTCGCGTTTGTTTGTTTGTTTGTTGTTAAAATTGACATCGAAAATTAGCCCACTTCTGATTGCTCTAGAGACCTGAAATTTGGCATGCATGCTACTTTCGCCTAACAATTTCAGATGCAATCATAAAAACTAGCAATTAGTGACCGTAATTAGCTTAATTTAATTACGCCCTAAGGACCATAAAATTGAGGACATGATTTCTAAAGATACCGACAAGACTTGAGGCCTATTGACACAGTTACTTCGGCCCCAATCGATGTGAGCGCGCTGGCCGTGATCGTATAGTGGTTAGTACTTCGCGTTGTGGCCGCGACAACCCAGGTTCGAATCCTGGTCGCTCAAGATTTTTAGTCCGTGTATTTATAAACACTTTTTAAAAAACCACGTTTTTTATGTGTAGCAACGGACTAAAAAGGAGAACGGACACGGTAACACATTGTTAACGGTGACACGGTTGGTACGCTGGGCATGCTAAAATACACATAAACACGTTTTTCCTTAACTCAGCTTCGCGTTTATTTGTTTGTTTATGGGAGATTTGATCACGTGATTCGTGAGTAGATCTCCACGCCAGCAACGTAAATTACACCCTTTCTCTGTTTAAAGCGTATCGGTCGCTCAAGATTTTTTTAGTCCGTGTATTTAAAAA